GGTGGCAGGAATGGTATGTATCATTGTGTTAGAGTTTGTTTTTTATTTATTTGAATCACGAGTCGAATACAGGACCTTGCACTTGCCAAGCTGGCCCCATGTTAGATTTTTTAGATAGTTTTAAAAAGTGAAAAAACTCCTTTGGGATGTTTATATGAGAATTGGAAGGATTTTACTTAACATTTTCTTAGTGAAAAATGCGTATTTTTATGCTTGTTAGTTACAATCCCAGAGAACTGATTTTATATATGCTAATAACTATAGAACTTTGACATTAATTTTAATTACAGAAAGCAAATGAGTATTCTTGGGTAGTTAGATTCAATTTTTGTTTTTCTGGTGGTGGTGGTTTCCCCTAGTAATGGTTTTAGAACTTTTAGACATATTTGATCATTTCTGTCTTCCTATTGAGTACCACCTCTCACACAGAAAGCCTATGAGCTGGAGGATCTAATGATGTATTTTCAAACAAATATCTGAGGGGAAAATACTTCCATGTAAAATGAGACAGCGCCAGTCTTAAAAGTGTCAGTGTAAGTATGCAGTACTGTGTTTATCTTCAGGTCAATTACTCACTGCACTCTATGCTGCTTTTAATTTTGTCCAGTAGTAAAGTGTTGTAACTCTGTTACGGAGAACAATTACTGGCAGAATCAAAACAAAAAAACTTTCCTTCCACCCCACATTCAACATCTGGTTAGATTTTCAGCATTCTTTATTCAGTCTGTCTCACCAGCCATGGTTCATTTAAACACATTCACCAGCTGCATTGCTTCTGTCATACTAACCTATGAGTTGTGCTAGAAAAAATAAATCAGACCAACGGCTTTCTGTCTGTCTTTTGTCTTAATACTTTAGGATCAGATCTGCTTTGTATTTCAGACTCAGGGTGCCAGAAAATAAATAATATACAGTATTTATGCTTATTTCTGGTATTCTTGTTAAGGACAACGAGGCTAATGTTAGTGATGGTCAAGGGCTTCTTTTGGAGAGCACTGGTAATTCCTGTAAATACCAGGTTCCAAATGGTACCTCTCTCTTCCAGCCCATCACAACAATTTTAAAACCAGCTTTTGTGTTTGTTTTGTTTTGTTTTCCTCCTTTGTTTTTTTAACAGGAAAGCCAGTGCAGCTCCTTCAAGACTGGAGTGATGCACACTGCATCTGCATCTGCCTCATGTGAGTTCTTACTTTGGCAGCAGCACTCGGTGAGGCTGGAACCTCTAGAGATTTGCCTGTTAGTTTTACTAAAATCTATATACTACTGCACAGTGTGTCTTGGGGGCAAAGGTAAAAAGTGCATGAGAATTCCAGAGTTTCTTGCAGAAAGTTTCTGCTTGTTCTAAAGGAACTTTTCAAAGCCCATACCTGTGTTCCCCACTACATGCAGTTATTTTTACAGAGCTATTTTTTTCCCTTGCAGATGATGGAGAAAAGAATATCTTTAAATGCTGTCAGTAGCTTCAGCTTTTAATGCTTTGGTTGTCCTCTTTCTAGTCAAGTTCCATAACCTGAGAACACTGTGTACTGTCCTGGTGGCTAAAGCAGACCTCTTTCCTTAAAACAGTTTCTTCCTTGTCTTTGAATACTGGGTAAATTAGGGCAGACCCAGGAGTCTTCTAGGGGAATAAGTAAGCAGTTAGTGTGTGAAGTTACACTTATCCCAAGCCATTGGCTAAGGTGTGGAAGCCAGAAAGTCAGCCAAGGGTTAGCTGGCACTGCACTGTTAAACTGCAGCGATTTGTAATGGAAATTGAAGTGAGAGATTTTGCTCAGGCTTGGAGCTTTACAGTCTCAGGTTATGTGTTTTCCTGCCTATGTCTGAGGTTGGTTTTGAAGGTCCTGGTTGATTTAAAAAAGAAATTGTACTTTTTAAGAAATGGTGATACCTCGTAGACTTCAGGAGTTTTTGTCGCCGTAGACATTTAGAATAAAACTTATACATTCAGGCTGTATATTTGTTTTATTCCCTTTAAAATAAATAAATTTTAAAAATTTAAAAAGAATTCAGGATGTGTGAGGCTGTAGGTCTACTTCTTAGAACTTCGATTTTCTACAGCTCTGTAGCAGATGATTTAAAGACGCAGACGTTGGTATTGCTGAGCTTATCCAGGAAGCTGGAGAGAAAACGCTGGCAGGTCTTACTGACTGGAGCTTGATGAAGAACAGTGTTGTTAGAGAGGAAGTTGAATTTCCCTTCAGGGTAACCCATTCTTGAGTCTCGGACAGTTCAGGCTTCAGTTTGAAAGATTGGCTTTGGGTGGAACTCAAGAGGGACCGAAATTCTGCCTTCTGCTGACACTTGTTCTTGTAGTGTAACTTCAAGTCAACAGGCGGGAAGGATATATCAGAGATCCTGGGAAGTACCCTGCAGTCATTGAAAGAGGGGCTTAAAGTACTTGTGTAGATGGAATTTTTAGAAAATTATCTCAGTTCTGCCCCATGAATAAATGTATTTGTCACACATGTGTAGTATTCCATTTTCTGCTGTTCTAGGATTCATGGTGGCAAGATGGGGACTTGGGATTATTTCCCCTGTATTTTTTTCACTAAACATTTTGACTTACTTTAAGCCTCAGCTCATATTGGTGTCATAGACACAGGTTTCGGTCACTGATTATTCTTTTACTCTGTAAGTACTTCATGAACAGGGAAAATTGTTGCCTAGGGGTGAGTTTCATTGGGGGTGACGAGGGGTTGTTAGGGCCTTGGTTTGGGGTTTGGCTTTTTTGTCTCTCTTAAGTGATGCCCATTAACTTATCTTTTGAAAAATTAATAATTGATAACATCTTGTATGAGCCAGATCTTTAAAAAATGGGTATCAGTAGCTTACCTAAATAATTTAGCTATATTGGAATTTTTATTTCATTAAATATTGGTTGAATTACATGGGCTTTGATTAGAATTGAGAAGTAATTGTGTTTTATGGGGATTTTGTTAAAATGATGTTTACTTGGAGCTGGGTTGGGGTCGTGGGAAAGCGTGGGGGAGGCCGATTAGTGTCTGCTCTAGCATAATTCCTGTTTCTGTCCGTGGGTGCCAGGGTGCCAGGCCTTACTGCCCAGGGCTCTTCCCGTTACTAAGACTTCCCGTTATTAAGACTGTGTGGAGACGCATAGCACTGCCTGGACTACGGAGTACCTCATCTAGATCTGAGACTTAAAGAGTTCGGGGTTTGTTTTGTCTGGAGAGGAGAGAGCAGGATGGGTGGAGGGAAAGGAGGGAATTAAGGGCAGAAGTACAGCCAGCTTTGAAAACGTTGTCCGGAGTCAGTATTAGCATTAAATTATTACCACCCCCACCCAAGACAGCACAAGAAACAAAAACAGTGTCTTTGGGAACTCAGCCCACAGTACAGTTTATACAGTTTCCACATCCTGTGATAGAGATGGCTTCTCTGGATATTGTTCTGATGAAACTCAAGCATCTCCTTAAGAAGCTTAAAAGATCTTAGGCTTTTGTTTTTAAAATCTAAAAATACTTTTAAAACTATTTTGAAAGCCCAGTTTACTTTTTTTTTTTCAATTGGTACCGGGGATCGAACTCATGACTGCCTGCTTGCAAGGCAGGTGCTTATGCTGCTGAGCTAAATCCCCAGCCCCTAGTTTACTTTTTTTTAAGTCTCAATTTAATTTTTATAAATTCTTCCATCCATACAGACATTAGTATGTCGCAGGTTTTAAAGGTATAGAGAGGCTCATGAAAGGCTCCTTTCCCTTATGACAGAGCCCTACTTGGTTTCCTTCTTAGAGGCAATTAGTATTGTGGTTCCTTTTTATATATTTCTAAAGAATTACTTTTAGAAAGGGAAAGTTGAATTGTATTCATTAAAATACAGGATTAGCTTAAAAAGGCAGAATAATTGAAAAAGTCAGTCTGAAGGCAGAGATGTTGATAATAGAACTAAACTAATATAATAGTCACACTGTGCTGAGGCCCCAGGAACAGGATGAACAGATTTGCAAACTGTGGGTCATTTATGTATGCACAGACTGACAGGATCTCACAAGTCAGAGGTTCACCAAGCTCCTTGGGGTGTTCCTGCTTTCCTCTTGTAGAGTGCTAGGATTATAGGTGTGTGCTACCACGCATGGCTGTCTTGTCTTTAAGATGGTTTACTTCTCCTAGGAACTGAAGGAAAGTTGTTAACCTGAGTATTTCATTTGAAAGAAGCATACTTAAAGGAGAAGCATTTTCTTTATGGTGAACTGCAGTGATAACTATAGAGTTTTCCCATTACGAGAACTTTGAGATTACACAGTAGTAGAGAGAAACCCCCATAACCCCAAATCCGTGTTATACTTGACCTTTAACAAACTCATTGTGCTCCTTTGGCACATAAGGAGATACATATAATTGTTACACAGGTTGCTTCTAATCACCTTGCCATAATAATGCCTAATAAAATGAGCCATAATTCTTTAAATGTCTGGTTCCCAATTCACTTCCAGAGTGCTCTAAATGCCTCAGACGTACCTTTTGTGGTTGGTTTGTAATAATACTTTGTCAAATCCAGTTTTGAAGGCTGTAACATTGGTATATAGCTAATAAGAAAAAAACTATTCTGATAGAGCAGGTGTGCTGTTTGGAGGGTTTAAAGACTGGTTATTTTGAAGATCAGTGAAGGCTTCTGGACGCAGCAAGTCTGTTTCCTTCTCATAGTTACTACCGCAGCTGTGCGATTGTAGGGTTTTCCTACCTTTAGATTGTGGGAATGAGAGAATAAAGGAGAAGGAAACATTCAGTGTAGGTTTCCTTAGAATGAAGCAACTACTCTGAAAGCTTGGATAATTCTTGTTTCTATTGCTCCTGTTGTTATGTGACCTATTACCACAAACTTAACAGTTGATTTTTAAATTATTGGGGGGCAGTGTAGAACATAGACTTTAAGGGAATAGAAGAAAAACAGCAGCCTGAGGAGGAAGGAGGAATTGGGAAAGAGTTGATTTGCTTAACCAGCTGTTCTTCATGGTGACTGATGGGAACCTCCTTTCTGCGCAGTGTACAAGTCCCCGGAGTATGAGTCCCTTGGCTTTGAGCTCACTGTGGAGAGATTAGTTTCTATTGGTTATCCCCAGGAGCTGCTCAGCTTTGCTTATGACTCTACATTCCCTACCAGGTAAGTTCTCAAGATGTTTTGGATTAAGACCCCCAATTAGTAATTCTGAATTCATTCCTGACTATAAAATGTATACATCAAGTAATTTTGTTGTTTTTCAGTTAATTTTTAGATTTACAGGAAATTTTCATAGACATCATATCTTTTGTGTTCTTAAATTGAACTTAGTTTATAGCTTTTGAAGAAGACCACTTTAGGGGTAAGGATATTTAAATCTGACTGAAGGATGGCCCTATGTGCTGTACCTTCAACTGTGAGAGAGGGATTGGATTATACGCTATGCTAATACGTTCAACTAGGTAGTCAGAGCCATCTTGGCAGTTTGCATTTCTGGCTTTGACAGAGAAGATTTAAAATTAAGAAAGATGTTTATTTGAGGTAGCTGCCATATGTGTTGCATACAACATCTAATGAAGGGAACACAGGCCAGCTCAGTTGTCCATAGAAATGTAAAAGATTCTACTTTGGAAGGGTGCCAGTTATCTTAAGAGGAATTACGCACCATTTGTACCTTTTTGTTTAAACCATTACCATTAATGGAAACCAAATGTGATTACTTAGCTATATGTAATAAATTTTTAGTTTCTATGGCTTAGTTTTGAAGATTTTATTCATTCTCATTAACGTCAAAGATGACATTATTATGGGATATTCCTCAGTTGCTACAAAGGTGGTGTTTGATGAGGTTGGTTCGTCGTGATTGGATCACCCTACTTAAAGTTACTGTGGGTGTGTGCGTTGTCAGCAATGTCTTTATTTTCACAGGGGACTTGTCTTTGATACACTGTATGGAAATCTTCTGAAGGTCGATGCCTATGGAAACCTCTTGGTCTGCGCACATGGATTTAACTTCATAAGAGGGTAAGTACAGAGAACCTTTTCCCTGTCTAGTGTCAGACTATATTAAGATGAAATTGTTTCCCAGATATAAGATACTTCTCTATTCTTCTGTTACTAAAGAGACATTCCTGTTTTGTTTTTTGGTTGGTTTGTTTGTGACAGGGTCTCTCTATGTAGTTCAGGCTGGCTCTGAACTCACTGTGTAGTCTAGGTTGGTCTCAAATTCACGGCAATCCTCTTGCCTCAGCTTCCCAAGTGCTGGGGTTACAGTTGTACACCACTATATCTGGGTAGAGAGCTATTAATGATAATTGATATGTAATGGTAGTAAACATTTATTAGGCATTTGGAATCCAAAATAACCTACAGATACAGATAGCAGTTATGTTTGTTTAAATTAAGTGCCTTCTAATTGTAAGTATTCAATAAGGCAAATCTTAAAACTTGCTCAAAAAAAGAACTGTAGTTGTTTAGACTTGTTTGAAATTCTACGAGTTTTATTTCTTTCCTTTTTAATACAGTTCTCAGGCAGCTGCTCCGAAGAGGTATATACATAAAAGTATTGTCTTTTGGAAAACAAATACATTATTTTGTAGGTCACAGGGGATTAGCAATCACCTGTACTATAACTGTTTTCTTCCTAACTCCAGGAATAGTGTTCCTTCTTAAGCAAATACAGTTGCTGGCCATCTTTATAGTCAGCTTATATTGTATCTGCCTTTAGAGGAATTGCTCGTCAGTGGTGGAGGGAATAGGAGAATATGTTTAGGAAGACAGTTTCCTCTATTAACCTGAGGAAAATACTGCACATAATTGTTCCCTTCCATCTGATTTTACATTGCAGGAATTTACCCAACTTGCTTTGAGTATTAACTTTAAATTTGGTTTCAGTTTTATAGATTTGTTCATTTTCATATATTCAGTTGTGACAATTGTGCATTTTTAGATTTAATTCTTTTTGTTTCTCAAAAATACTTTTATTAATATTCTGTCATTCTGGAAGTGTTAGATTACGTTTTCCAAGCCTTTTGTGCATTACAGATTTCCCATTGCTTTGTATCAGTTAGCTTTTGCTGCATAATAAATTACTCTGAAATTTAGTGGCTTCAAACAGCAGTGTTTTATGTACCTCAGAATTGTGAAAGTCAGCTGAGCAATTCTGAACTGAGTCTGTGGTCAGTGGATAGGTCAGCATCTGATCTAGGGTGTCTTCACGTTCCTGGCAGCTGGCAGGCTCTTGGCTGTGTCTCTCATTTCTTCCTGTGGCTCTTTGTCACCCTGCAGACCAGCTTCCTGTCATTTTTGTAGTGGTCTCAGGGGTCCTTGTGTAGCAGGAGAGAGCAAGCCCTGGAGCACAAGTGTTCTGAAGTCTGCTTGAATCCCATTTGTTGCTGTTCACACTTGTGTTAAAGGATAGAAAAGTAAACTGAGCTTCTAATGGGAGGAGCCACAAAGTTGCTTGCAAAGGGATGGAAAAAAATTATGGGTGCACGCCCCCATCACACTGTCTGTTTGCTATTTACCCTAAAACTGGTTACCAGGTCAGTCTTTTGACTTAGTTCTGATGAGGTTAAGCTCTCTGCTTTACAAACTGAAGAACAGCACCCTAGTCCTGAATGAAGTGAAAGGGCAATGGCATGAGCAGCCCCAGCCCATCTTCCTAGCTGTGCTTTGCACTCTTTTCTCTACTATAAAACTGGACTGGTTTTTGCACTGGTCCACTTAGCCTTTAAGATCTGTCTTACAGGCATCACTTTCACAAATCCTATGTTTTTCACCACCACTTTGCATTCATTTCTTTCTGCCTTTTAATGAAATGATTGCTCCTTAGTTTTCTAGTAGTTCTTTGCAGCTTTCTTGTAGTAGTAATTTCTTTTTTTAAAATCTTGTTACACTTGTTTGTATATATAACTCACTGTAATCTGTCAAGAATTCTAAGGGTTAGAACCTCAACTTTTACTCATCTTACAGCTACCCTTGTTTAATACTTGGAACTCTTGCCTTGCACATAACCATTAATGTATTTGAATGAATTTTTCCCACAGTTACTGTGTTAATATTTTGATTGATAGCTAATTTTTAAAATTTTCTTTCAGACCAGAAACTAGAGAGCAATATCCAAACAAATTTATCCAACGAGATGATACTGAAAGATTTTACATTCTGAACACACTATTCAATCTGCCAGGTAGACTCATTCTACGCTTTTGTGTACTGATGCATTTAGTCCCTTCTGTCCATGCGCATTTGTCTTTGTTCAAGGGAGGTGATGAGATACGTTTGAATCATTTCACAGGTAGCTTATGAATATCAATTTTTCATTTTTCAGAGACCTACCTGTTGGCCTGCCTTGTCGATTTCTTTACTAATTGCCCCAGATATACCAGGTATGTATATACAACAATTTCCTTTTTCTGATTGATTTTTTAAATTAATGTACAGGGTTTTAGAGAACTGGCCATTGTAGGTCTTTTCTGCTTTTCTGAAGTGAATTTAGTGCTAGTGAGAGATGCCACATTGCCAGCCTGAGAGATGGACAGCAGCAGCAGCTCCATGCAGGCCCTCACCTCCCACACGCCCCTCCTTCCAGTGTGCTGCAGCCATGCTTGGAAGGGACCACTTCTGATTGGCTTCTCCTGGGAATGAAGACGCCAGCAGAGGTGCTAATTGTGACAACTGAGTGGGAGGTTTGTGTGATAAAGTTATCTGTCCAAGCAGAATTACACTAAAACCCCCCAACTCATTTCACAGCAGCAACCCAGGAGCCATTCAGGGGTAATTTAGTTTCATTCCCAGGCCTAGCAAGGTTTCATCAAGGAAAACATTCTGTTATTTGAAAGAAAACTTCAAGTCTTGAATAAGTAGTCTTATTAGGGGAAGTCATTGCTGAAAATGCAGCCGTATATGACAGAGTTTGCTGATCTCTTCTGTTAGGTCTATCCGCTAAATTTAGTAGCAAGCTGAGTCACTGAGATTGGACAGTACCTATACTTTAGGACAATGTCAGAAAAGTCAGGATACAAAGAACTGAAATGACCAGCTTTACATTTTAAATGTTTCTTCAGTGAGAACCTGTTTACAAAAAGTGGCAAATAAAAGAATGTGGTATTTTGAATTTTGGCCTTTTGGCTTCCATTCAGTATATTCTATCACTTTGTATTCATTCATAATTATTATATTCCATTTAACAATATGGCCATTTCTGGTGGTCAGAAATCACTTTTCATTAGGGAATAATTTTCCTAATTAGCTACAGCTGATATACCCATGTTCTATGGAGCCTTTGGGTCCCCTCGGCAGGTTTTGATATTCATTTAATTCATCTCTTTTGGAATCTCTGTCACATCCTTTTTATCTTTCCTTTCCATAGCTGTGAGACAGGATTTAAAGACGGGGACCTGTTCATGTCCTACCGGAGTATGTTCCAAGATGTGAGAGACGCCGTGGATTGGGTTCATTACAAGGTACCCCAGGCTGCCGCCTCCCCACGCGCTGTCTGCCTGTGCGCTGTGACTTGATGCTAACCTGCCAAGAGCCTGTGGGCACAGGTTTTCTTCTGTTTAAAAAGAAGGGTTGGGAACAGGGAAGTTTGCCCCAGTGATAGCTTTCTAGAATATATTTTTTCTTGTCTGGCCATTCTGTTGATCTTTCCCTAATGGTGAGGCTTGGTTCTAGATTTTATTTAATCTGTATTTTTCAAACTTACTTAGAAAGCATCTTAGTTTATGAGATTATACATAACATTTTGTGGATGATGGTCCTTTTTCACTCGCTACCTCCCCCCTGACTAAATTAACTAATTAATATTAACTAATTAATATTAAATTTACATTGACTATAACTGCTGAATAAAATGTGAAATGCTTTTCAATTTTGATTTAAAATAGAAGCAGTTTTATATTTGAAGACATTTTGAAAGGCAGAATTACTGCAAATTGTGCCTGCCACTGTGTCTTGCCCTTTTCTAGTTTATCTGTTTTTTCCATTTTGGTAAATAAATTCAAGCCAGTTATGGTGGTGCATGCCTGTGATCACAGCATTCATAGGCTGAGGCAGGAGGGTCACCACGAGTTCAAGACCAGCCTGAGCTTCATAGTGACTGCACAGTAAGCCTCACAGCTAAACTACAGAACAAGAGCTTGTCTCAAAAAACAAAACACACAAATTTGTTTGGGTTGCTGCTAATCACAGGTTTCCTCATCAACTAAATTTATTCTTTCTTAGTTCCTTTTTTTCCTTTCCTCCAGGGCTCCCTTAAGGAAAAGACAGTTGAAAACCTCGAGAAGTATGTAGTCAAAGATGTAAGTACTGAAGGAGAAAATAGACCTGCGTGATAGCTTATTTTACCTATTAAGGAAATGAATAACAAGCTGTAAGATGGACAGATGAAGATAGTCCTTACTGTAGCATGGTACCGCTAGGTGTAATAGCTAAGAATTTTCCGCCAGAATATAGGTCTTAGTAACTGTTTTGTTTGTCTATAGGCGAGGAGACCCATTTCCTTTGTCCTTTTAGTTGTAGATAAAACAGCAAAAGGTTCAAGTGCACATGCCATCACCTTGTGATGATGTGCTTTAGAGCCACCTCATTCCGTGTAGATGCGAGGTAGACAGAGCTGTCACCTCCATTTCCTTCCGTACGAGGAAACCGAACGATAGAAGAAGTAAATGTCCTCCCCAGGATCACAGAGTAAGTTGGTAACACCAAGATTCACCTCACATGTGTGTCATTTAGAAAATCTTTTCCCTGGCAACAGGAAATAAGGAAAGCTTTAGAATGTCTTAAGTAGAAAACAAGTTAAAAATGTTTTAAGTCTATAGTGTGATAGTACTTAACCAGTGTTAATTGTTGAATTGTGATACTCATACTGTGTGACTCAGTGAAATGTTGCTAGTAAGGGAAACAGAACGAAGAAGTATGAGAACTCTGCCCTAACTTTTCTGAAAGTATAAAATTATCTCAAAACAGAAAGTAGATACACGATCCCAAGATGAGATGCTGCTTTCGTTTCCTATAAAGTTGCAAAGTGCAGTATTTTCTCTAAGTACTGTGGTATGGTTTTCTTGTTTTCAAGATTCACGTATCTGCTTATCTCCCCTCACTGAAAGAACCCTGAATGGGAAGGTTCAGTTTGTGTGAAGGAAGTGGTTATTGTGAGAGAAGGCAAAGATGCTGATGCTGCTTTTCTTTCGAAGCACATCAGGAGTTAGAATTTCCTTATCTGCAGGTGGGCGCGAGTAGAGGGTTCTACCCGTGCATTCATTTCATTCTGTGAGGCAAATTGTAAAGCCATCGTCAGTTTCTGATCTCTGACACACCTAACTCATACTTTTTTTTTTTTTTTTTTTTTGTCTTTTTCATTTTTATCGGTACCGGGGATCGAACTCACGACTGCCTGCTTGCAAGGCAGGTGCTTATGCTGCTGAGCTAAATCCCCAGCCCCTAACTCATATTCTTTAGGGCAGCACAAAGTAAATTTAGATTCCTGAAGCAGACATCATGAGGAAGAAAAGAACCATGTCATTAATGACCGCGTAGTTTTGATGGGAATCTGTATGCTTTGACACTGTACCTTGCATGTTAATGCTTTATTCATGCGTAGTGACAATGTGGGCTTGTAGATACAGAATTCTGAAGCCAGTCAATTATGAAAAGACTTACTGTATTTGTATTTTAGTGGACAAAAATATAGCATGTGAGTACTTCAAAGTATAAATATAAAAATATTTTTAGATTTAGTGTTTTGTTCATTATACTATATTTCAGGGAAAACTGCCTTTGCTTCTGAGCCGGATGAAGGAAGTAGGCAAAGTATTTCTTGCTACCAACAGTGACTATAAGTATACAGATGTAAGTGCTTAATATTCATATTTGTTTATGGATTATTAAGAGAAATTATTTTGGCCTCAACTATGAAGATCATAAGATGGATAGAAGTTGATTAAATAAAGCTAGTTCCTTGCCTTCTCATTTTGAAAACAGAGTGAAACAAAGCAGAAGGAAAAGGGCTGTACCAGAATCATTCTCATTTGTTTCTAAATGTGTTGTGACTGTTTTCCCTGATTACAGTTGGTTACTTGCAGGCTTTCATTTTGGGGCCATTTAAAGCATTTATGCTGATGGAAATGTCTTCTGTATGTCTTTGGATCATCCTAAAGATAAATTCTAGAATTTATATTCTGTATTCTTTCTACTTTCCTGCAATTGGAAACCTTGGAGCAGTAAACTAGTAAACTAGGCAAAGGTATTTTGAGTCTTAGCCATTGAAATTTACAACTGTACTCTGTTGAAAACAATTTTTTTTATCATGATTAAAGCTTGTAGAAGTAACTAACTTAACTTTACCTGAGATAATTACAAGTTAAGAGTGATAAGTTCTGCTTTTCCTAACTCCTTTCATGTAAAAAGCTTTAATTGTTATTTCCTTGAGTCTCTAGTTTCCATGCCCTTTACCTTTTCTGTCCCTTCACCTCCAAGTTTATGTTCCAGAAGTGGCGTGTGGGTGAATTTGTCTGGAAACATGGGAACTGTTTGTCCTCCCTAAGAAACAGCAGAAGCTTGTTTGCTTTGTTTTGCTTTGCATTTCCTTCCTTTTTTGGTTTTTTTCTTGTATGATAAAACTGTTAATTTTTATACACTTACATTTTATAGATATAATTCTATAGACCTTAAGAGGTAATAAGAATGCAATGAGTCCTATTATTGAAAAAGTCGTGTTTTATGAACACATTGTATGTGATTTATGTCATTTGCCTTTTGCAAAAGTAGCATACAGAATTTATGTTTGTACTTTTTTTCTTTCAGAAAATTATGACGTACCTGTTTGACTTTCCACATGGCCCCAAGGTACTTCAGTAATTTGGTAGACCACTGCTTTAGTAATAGTGAGTCCATTTAACCAATATTTAGGAAAAGGATTGGTCAGGACCTATCCAGGAAAATCCTTGGTTTTAAGCCTGTTGTCTAATTTTTGCTAACATTAGAAGTAATTCAGGAGCAGAATTTCTTTCTTTTGGGGGAGTAAGGTAACTGGGAATCAGATTGAAGAATGTGTGGTTTCCAGGCGCACGCTGTGTACCACTGAGCTGTGTCCCTGGCCCCAGGAGCTAGAATTTAATATCAAAGTTACAGCAGTTTTATTATTTAGTAGATAGTGGTTAAAATGGGGTCATACTGTGTTTAGCAAAGTGGGGTCAGACTTTGACGCCTACGAAGTTCTGCGTGTAGTTACTAGGTGTGCAGAAGGTTTGGGAGCTTTGTGGTGAAAGCGGCAGAAAACACAAGTGTGTGTGTTCTTCAGAGTTGCTAGATCTTGCGGGAGCTGTTGCTGAGCTTCTTGCCAGGGAGTTAGCAGAGAGGACTTCATTCCTGCATGTGACCGTGCTTTGGAGGGCTAAGGGTTACCCATTACAGCTTAGTCAGGCCACCTGAAGAACTTTAGTCCACAATATCATCGGATCACCCAAAACTGCTATGTGCTATATTTGGTAGCTTGGCCCAGAAGAGGGATGCCAGCAGCTTCATGGTGGGACCCCTCTGAGTGGGCTAAACTTGTAACTATGTGGGTACCTCACAGTTTGGGCCAAAGGCCAGTGGGTACCTAGAGCCATCATGCAGAGAGAATGTAGCCAGGAGCGTTTTCTGACGTGGCCCAAGTTGGCCTGCGTTAGTTTTCATGCTGATCTGAAGTTGCTCTCCACCTGTGCCCTGGGCATCTCAGCCCAGCTGTGTGTTGTGCATTTCAGGGTGTGAGTGCTCTTTCATGTGTGAAAGTGCCAAGGCACAGTACTGTGATCATGCAGCAGATGGAGTATTCACACTGTGTAGTACTAGTCATTCATCACACACCTCCCTGCTTCTGGAAGCATATGGCTCATAATTAGCCACAGTGGATGTTTTTTAACTAAAATATTGAGATTTTTCTGGCTATACATAGTGCTTCTAAATTCCTTGCATTTACGAATAAGATGAAGTGCCAGTGTCTTAGGGTGCAGAGAATGACGTTTGGGCTTTTGTTGGTCCCCTCCACAGCCCGGGAGCTCCCACCGGCCGTGGCAGTCCTATTTCGACCTGATTCTGGTAGATGCACGGAAACCGCTCTTCTTTGGAGAAGGCACAGTGCTGCGGCAAGTGGACACTGTAAGCTGGCCCAGGGGTCTGTCTGGTGGTGCACTGCCCTTTGGGTGCCTCCTTTTTCAGTCCTAGCCTCCTTAGGAAACAGGTATTTTAAATTACCAGCCACATTTCTCTTTTGAAAGCTTGGGCTTTAACTGAGGTAACCTGACAATTACTAAATGAAAAGAGTGAGTGACATTTGTCTGGATGCCTGGCTGAGTAGAGCTGTGGGTGGAGACCATGGTTAGATGGTAAAGTGTTTCATTCTCACATTCTCTTCCTTAGAAAACTGGCAAGTTGAAAATTGGTACCTACACAGGCCCCTTGCAGCATGGCATTGTCTACTCAGGAGGTGAGTTGCCGTCTTCCCTGGGTCGCCTATCTTGGCCAGCACTCCCTGTGCAAAGTGGCACGCTCAGGACGGTGCCATGTGTGCTCTCCAGCATTTGAGATGCTATCTAGTGACACATGCTAAAATGATGAATGAAAGCCAAATGAGTTCTGTGTTCATTAGAAGGATCAGTTCCTCCTCCTCCTAGTAGGACTCACTTGGGGCTTTTAAAGGAGCTTTCAAAGAGCCAGTGTGGGCAAGCACACGTAGCACCTCAGGGCTGCGCAGAGTTGGACACAACCACAAAATGGCAAATCAGCGATGAAAAGTTAAACTGTGTGGTAGTTTAGTTATACACCCTACAGTGGAGACAGGCAATTGTGTTCCTCTTGGATTTGGGGATCAGAGCTCTGGTCAGCACAACAGAGCTTAAAGGCCTGTGTTAGCAGCAGAAAGAGTGGCAAGTCCTTTGGAAGGGGCTGCCCTCACAAAGAGCGAAGCTAATCGGTGTGGCTGGTTGTGGTGCTTTGCATGCTGGCTTTAGTAGAGACATTTTTGTTTTCTCCTCCTTTATTCCATTATTTCAGGCTCATCTGATACAATATGTGACCTGTTGGGAGCCAAGGGCAAAGATATTTTATATATCGGAGATCACATTTTTGGAGACATTTTAAAATCTAAGAAACGGCAAGGGTGGCGAACTTTCCTGGTCATTCCTGAACTTGCACAGGAGCTACATGTCTGGACTGACAAGAGTTGTAAGACGCCATTACTGTTTATAAATCTTTGATATAGCTAGTTTAAGTGACCAGCTTTGATTCAGTCTCTTCTGATAAACCACTACCCTGTACTCGGGATGAGGGGGTGTCACACAGGTGGCCCTGAAATTTGGGTATCCTTTATCAGAATCTCATGGTTTACTGGACTCCAGAAGTTGAGTGTGTAAGAGGTTAGCTTGTTGGACTTCTTGAACCCTCAAGTGCAGAACCTTGGTACCCTGATCTGCGTTCCAGTAAGAGCTGTTAAGTAAGGAGCTCACTTCCTCCAGCCTCGCTCTGCTCTCAGCCCGCACCTGTGATTCTTAGTATGGGGCAGTAAGGGCTCTGAATATTAATTACCATCTGCAGTTTACTCTTCTAAGAGGTAGGAAAGGACGCCAGCTTGTATGCTTGGATTAAGGCCCTGCGTGTGTGCAGTACATATACTATGTTAAACTGTGGATACAGCTGTGTACAGAAGTTCTCCATCCACCTCTTGTGTCACACAGTGTGGTGAAAGGTGGTTACTTCAGAACCTCGGCCTGCCTTGAGTGGGGCCCTGATACCACACTAACACCTGGAGATACCAGAGCCTGCCTCTCCTCAGAGCCAGCAGTGGTGAAGCTGGTGAGACTTCCCTGGGGCAGTATAGAAATAGGTAATGACGAGGAGAGACACAGAGCCCAACCATGGCTCCTCTCGTGAGCCGTGAAACACAGAAGAAAATGATTCTAGGGACTGTTCTCTGTTAAAGACGGCAGAGAGAAGGATGTGTGCTGTGAACACACGTCGGGCTTTCTCCTCTTAGGCTATTGTTACTGCTGCTGTCTGTACTGCAATAACATTTTCCAGCTGGCCCTCCTGCACATTTCAGCTTTTCACCTGAAATCCATCTGATTGTACTGTCTCTTGGCCTTGTGGCTCTAGTCAGGTCACCTAATTCTCAGTTTGTCTAAGAGTGGAACAGTCATCCTTTGCTTTGCTGACTGAGCTGGAGACAGTGCAGGAGCAGGCGTCCTGCAGGCCGAGAAGGTGCATGCCCCTGGCGGGGAGGTTGCAGCCGGTGCTATCTGCCATACTAAGAAGGGGAAGGGCTCAGGAGAGGGTACCCTCATGTCCCTCTGCTGCCAGGCTCTTCCTGAGGAGGGAGCGGTCATTTACATTCCTGCACAGAACATGTCAGTGCTGACCTCATAGTTTGGGGTCATACCTACAATTTTTTCATTTTATTTAAAAACTGTATTAGTTGGTTTTGATTTGCATAAAGCATTTTTCTTTCCTTTCCAAACCTTAACTAGCGCTTTTTGAAGAACTTCAGAGCTTGGATATTTTCCTGGCTGAACTCTACAAGTAAGTTTCTCAATTCTAAAACTTTGTTTCCTAAAAACTACCTACCTCTTCAGAGTCACATAGATATGAGGAATGTTGTTGAACGGTTCTCACTGAGTGTTTGCTCTCGTCCCCAGGCACCTGGACAGCAGTAGCAATGAGCGCCCAGACATAAGCTCCATCCAGAGACGGATCAAGGTATCCAAGTGGGGTTTGGAAGGAAGCTTGAAAAACTAATTACTGATGTGATTTCCTTGTTTCTGATTTCACAGAGGGACTAGTAAAACATTTTTTGAAATGAGTTATGAACAATTACTCTGTTTCTAGAAAGTGACACATGACATGGACATGTGCTACGGAATGATGGGGAGCCTGTTCCGCAGTGGCTCCCGGCAGACGCTCTTTGCCAGTCAGGTGATGCGCTACGCTGACCTCTATGCTGCATCCTTCATCAACCTGCTGTATTACCCGTTCAGCTACCTCTTCCGAGCTGCCCATGTCCTGGTGAGCAGAGTTCCCGTGACACTGACAGTACACTGGGATGCCAGGTGCATGGCCCATGCACTATAACTTATACCCAGCTGTTTGGGAAGCTGGAGCAGCAGGATTCTCAGTTCAAGGCCAGCCTGTCTCAGAAAAATTCATAGTATTCCAAGTTTGTTTAATCTCCAGTACTATGATGATGGTGATACAAAAAAATTAAATGAAAACATTAAAATCAAGATCTGCAGTTGAGCCCTGTGGGATGATGCACAGCCTGCAGACAGGTGAGGTGGTTACACAGGGGATCTGTGAAGAAGTACGACCAAGATCTCAGGGGCTGTGACTTTAGGTGGTGGTTTTTTTTTTTTTTTTGTCTTTTTGAAACAGGTTCTCCCTATGTAGTTCAGGCTGGCCTTGAGCTCATTTTGTAGCCCAGGCTGGTCTCAAATTTGCAATAGTCTTCCTGCCTCAGCCTCCTGAGTGCTGAGATTACAAGTTTGTACCACCACACCTGGCTTGGACTGTAATTTTAGTCTCTGAAGTCTATCAGATACTACACTGAGGCAGGTGTGGTGGTGCATGCCTGTAATCGCAGCACTGGAGAGGCTTGAGGCAGGAAGGTTGTTGTGAATTTGAGGCTAGCCTGAGCTACAGACTTTGAGTTCAAAGGCAGCTGAGTTACATGACAAGAAGACCATGTCTCCAAAAAAAATAAAAAGTTGCACCAAATGGAGAAGACTTTCCTCTTTGTCACTACTAAGGAAAAAACAAGGCTTTTTAATTTCTTTATTCCTGTGTTCTGATGCTATTGAACTTCAGCCCTGGCTATAAAATAAAAGTCAAGGTCTCTCTTTTTTATCTTCTCCAGTTTGTTTTGTGGTTAGGGAGAGAGGCTGTTTCAGGCAGTAGCCATGTGAGGACATTTTAGTGATTTTATGTCCTGTCCACTGTAGCCCTAATCCTGTGTCCGGGAAGAATGATCAGGGTTGTTTTCCTCTCCTCCATTCTCATCTCTCCTGACCCTGTTCTAGATGCCTCACGAGTCAACAGTGGAGCACACACATGTGGACATCAATGAGATGGAGTCCCCCCTCGCCACACGGAACCGCACATCAGTGGATTTCAAGGACACCGACTACAAGCGGCACCAGCTGACAAGGTCCATCAGTGAGATCAAACCCCCCAACCTCTTCCCGCTGGCCCCCCAAGAAATCACACACTGTCACGATGAAGATGACGACGAGGAAGAGGAGGAGTAAGGGAAGCTCAGCCATCCATTACACAGCGCTGGCAGAACTCCTGGGAGCAAAGGCAGTCCTTGTTCTCTGGGTGGGTGGGGCTCCTTCAGAAGCACATCAGAAGCTTTCTGAAGACTTTAACATATGAGATCCTTGTTTTAGTTTTGTGTACCTGTATTTTTGTGGAATGGTTTGGAATTGTATTGGGCCTGTGCTGGAAGCAGCAAGGGTCAGGGGAAGCTGAAGCAAATGGAGTTGGCTCTGTGCGGCTGGTGGTCCTGTCTCCTGTCTTGTTCACCTTTGGCACATCTGGTACGCAGGGTGGCAGAGGGCTTTGGGATGGCAGAAGGAGATGCAAAGTGCTGGATTGTTCCAAAGCCCAGCTTTCCCCGTGCCCCAGCAGCGCTGCTTCGTACAGTGGGGAGAGATACTGTTTCCATTCCCGTTTCTTTCATAAGCTGTTGAGTATTCTCAGCGAGCCTGGCAAGGCTGAGGCTCTGTCAGTGCCTTTCCAGAACATCTTTGCTGTGGGGTCAGGCTGGCTGAACTGCAAGGATTCTGTTGTGAAGCAAAAATCCTCGTCCTTTTTACATTTTTTTAGGTTGTGATAGCACAGATTCTTGTGATTTAAAAACATAGTAAGTTTCTCATCTGATAAGTCCATAAAGGAGAACCTGCAAGAAGACAAGAGCAAGCTGCTGAGCAGGCCAGCAGGGGCCACCTTCTTCGCTTACTGCAGGACTGAGGAGCATTCATTCATGTGACCCCTAAACATGGCTCCTATTGCCACATCCGCATGGCCGCCTGTCGGGTTGATCGCTGTGTTTTAAAGTTGGACAGTAAAGGATAAAGGGTTGGGGATTTAGCTCAGCGGCACAAGTGCCTGCCTGGCAAGGGCGAGATCGTGAGTTTGGTCCCCAGTACCAAAAAAAAAAAAAACCATTAAAGGATATGAAGAGGGCATTGTAAGCCAGAATCTTAATAATGCAACAGCTGCAACCAGTGAGAATAAGCTCACTTCAGAGCCCCAAGTGGAATCGCCTTGTTTGAACAAGAACTACTCAGTATTACCGCCTAGGTTAGGACCGAACCAGGTAGGGAGAGTTGTGACATTTTCAACAGTGGTAAGATTCTTACTTAAACCTTTACATATTTTCTTATATTCTTATTGTCACTGGTCAACGGGGGAGGATAGACCAGTAGCTGTAGAATTCAATAAAGTAATCTTTTTAATACTGACTTTGAGCCCTTCTGTGGCACAGTGGAATGACTACTGGTCTTCAAATAGGTTTAGGTTTTGTTTTTAGTGATACCAGTTTAACATTTTAAGGGACATAAACATTTTCAAAAAATTATAAACAATTCACATCTCTCTTGGTTAAAAGGAAGTAATTGATACATTCTAACTTGACATATCCATAGTCCTTCAGAGGCTACCATTTTTAAGGGGCTGGAGAATTTGGCTCAGCAGTGTAAGCACCTGCGTGGCAGGCATGAGATCGTGAGTTCCATTCCTGGAACCCTAAAAAAAAAAGGATTTTTTCATAGAAAAATTTTGGCACAAGATTCTGAAATGAGAGTAAGTCATTCTATTGATAAGGGAACACAGCTTATTAACTCAGCCAAATTATGCATGGCGACCTTGTGCCAGGAGACACACTCTGCATGCTGCCCATGGGGAACATGGGCTCCTTCCTGAGTTGGGAGTGTGCTTTGGCAAAGAACAGTCAGATGCTACCCCTCTTTCAGAGCTCACAGAATGCACTGTGTCACCCCAGCCACGAGCTGGTCTCACTCAAGGGGAAGATGTTGGTGCTCTGATGGTCTTACATGTTTCAGACCTAGATCTTCGAGTGATTGTACCTGTGGTCCTCTTCCTGTAAATAGTATATTCATTTCCCTTTTTAGAGCACAGACCAGCACGATCTCCTTATTCTTCCATCTATATTGGTACAAGAATTTGTCAGAGATTTCTCAGGCAGTCAGATGACTCACTGCTCAGAGGCTGAGAATCAGAGAGCAGCACGCTGACCCCCACTCTGTTCAGTGCTGCAGAGCAGTCCTGAGAGCTGGGTCCCTTGAGGTGAGGGCAGAGCAGCAGGTGCCTGCTGAGTGCACTGGAGCAGCTTTGCCTGTGCTTTGAAATCTTGAATTGCGAGTTTGTCTCCACGTCAGTTATTAAGTTATTAAGGAAGCGAAATCTACTTTGCGTTTCGTGCAAAATGTAAGGAATTCTGGGTCACGAGATGACAGATCTTCCATGTCTTCTGAGAAAAGTTTCCCTGGGTGTGAGAACAGTGCTGTGTAACACACTTTGCAGACTGCTTGGCACCCCTTGCTGCTCCCTGGGCGGAACCTTGAACCGCAGTGCTTGCACGGGACAGAACTCCGTTGGAGGCACGGCAGAGCCAGGCCCATCTGCTGCCCGCAGGAGAACTGCCGGGCACTTGGAGTCATCTCTGCAGAGACACTTGGAGCACAGAGGCTGTATTTCAGCAGTTTCTGAGGTCAAGAAAGTTTACTGCTCTGTTTGAGACCTAAGGTTTTCCTTCTACAAGTGTAACTGTTGGAATCTAAAATAAGCAGGCCAGCCTTCAAACTGCCCTAAGATGCTTTGAGAGGGGACTTTTAATAAAACTACAATAACAAAACTACAAACCCTTAACAGGTTAGAGTAAAATCCCACTTATATGCCGATTCACATCAGCTTTAAGAGGGCTTTGGCCACCACTGGGTGTGGTGGCCCATTCCTGTTATCGAAGAGGCTAGGCAAGGTGGCGGCTGTGGTGGGTTCAGTGCAGGGCTGGGCGCCACACTGAGTTCCAGGCTGCCTGGACTACATGGCTAGATCCATTCTCACATGCACAAGTACTGTGTCCATATTTAGATATTTCTAAATCAGATTTGTTTATTCAAGAAATATTTTGTCAATAATTCTTAAAGCCTGGGTTTTCCAAGGCTGCTGGGGCATTTTGAAGCACGCTGCTTGGTCACTACAAATAGCCTGAGACACACAGCTACATGCTTAAGTCTGTACGAGGGTGAGAACCTCACCTGCGTTCCGTGCTGCGGAAACTACCCTCTCCTTGGAGAGCCGGAGAAACCGGCTTGGGCCGTGCCATTGGAGCCTGCTTCCTCTCTGTGTTTAGTTCAGGGCTCATTTCCTAGGTTTCTCATGGCATTCTTTCTCGGTGACCAGGACTTTAGCTTTTAAACTCTGTCCTGAAAAGGAATCATTCCAAGCCATAGCCAGCTTTTGTTGGCTCTGAGGACAAAACCTCACCACGAGTTTTTGGCAGCACAGACGCTAAGAGGAGAGGACGGTGGGCAGGTGGCAGCCAGGTGGTAAAGCGGTGACCTTTGGAAATGCACTGCCCCGTCACACACCTCCACATGGGCTTCCTGTGGACCCCACTGCAGTGTTAGTGTCTGGATGGAGCGGAAAGGGGTCATCTGGAGTCTTCTCAGCCCTGCCTTGCAGACTGCATCCCCAGCCACAGCAGCCTTAGAGGGCTGTTATTTCCACGTCAGACACCCACGAGCTGCACGACACCATCTCACCACCAGGTAGGCCTCACAGCAAGCAGGCGCAGTACTGAAGCTGCTGTGTGTGCCACCTATTAGGGGAGACAGTGAACCTCCCGAGCATTCCTGAAGAAAAGCGCCCTCTCCCTCCCTCCATCCTGGGACTCGTAGGAGCACAAGCTGGGCCTAGTGGCATGTGCTGTGATCTCAGAAGTAGGAAGACTGAGGTAGTCACACGGTGAGGTCGCTGGACTGTGGCACTTGGCTCCGTGTCCTGCTGTCAGGACAGGTGGCTGGCATGAGACACCTCTGCAGGTGTTCACGCAGAACAGCATGCCTCACCGGGCTCCTAAGTGTTTCCCTCCCAGACTGGAGTGTGCGCCATGTCTTCCAGTGTAAACACTGGCCAGCTTTGACCTTGGCTCCATCTCACTAGAGTAAGAGCTGATGGGAAGCATTGCCTCATGAGTTAAATTAGGCACAGACAGGGTCCCCACTGAGTGCCTCCCAAACGGCCGTCCCTGAGGCCTGGAGGAAACCGAGCTGGGTGGCCCTTCCCTCACAAGGTGTCCAGGCAGTGGGCACACACTACTCTACAGGGCAGCAGTGGGCTGTGCACGTTTCAGGGTCCCAGGATACTTCAGAAAGGATTTGCCAGCGACCCCTCCCAGCACAGAGAACTGTTCATTACATGTCCAGTCTGTTTTTTGAGATAGGGTCTCATTGTGTAGTAACAGGCTGGCCTGAAGTGAGTTCCTCCTGCCTCACCCTCCCCATTGCTGGGATTATAGATGCACACGGCCACACCCATGTCCACTTTCTCTCGAGAGGGTTTCTCCCCAGAGGGTAGCGCTGGACTTGCAGGAATGGGTATCTTGAAGCAGTGACTTCACATTTGGATCCACTGCCCTTCAGATTTGAGCAGAACTGCAGCTCAGCCTGAGAGCCTTGTCCAGCCCAGTGTCACCTGCTGCCTGAGCCCCAATAGGAAAAGCCATAACCAGGAGTTGGCAGTGGCCCTTCTCATAGAAATGGGCACCCTCGGGGCCCACAGCTACCTATTAGGGGAGACAGTGAACCTCCCGAGCATTCCTGAAGAAAAGCGCCCTCTCCCACCCTTCATCCTGGGACTTGTAGGCACACGAGCTGGGCCTGGTGGCATGTGCCGTGATCTCAGAAGTAGGAAGACTGAGGCAGGATGGTAAGTAGCTGGCTTGGGCACCATAGCCCTTGTCTCAAAAAAAACCACACGATGCCCTCAGAGAGATGATGAAGCAATCATACAAACCAATGTAATTCAGCTTCAGGGCTTTAATTAAGGGGTCAGACTATTAAATTCACTTAGCCTCAAAACTACTTTTTTTTAAACCAGGAGTCAAACGCACAGTCTCACACTTCGCTATGCTATGCATCTCTATCCCTGGCCTCAAAAGTTTTTATAGAAGTTCCGGAAATCAGTTTTAGGCTATAGGAAGGTCAACTTGTTTTCTCTGCAAGCCCATCTGAGAAGCACATTTTGTGGCAGGGAAAGCAGAAAGGCTTGGACACTGGAAAAGGCAGCGGCTGGGGAAGTGGGTGTGGAGCAAGCCAGTGTCTGCACGTGGTCCCAGGAGCAGCAGCTCCCACAGCATTTCCACCCCCGCCCAGGCCAGTGCACAGAGGTGGCCTGTGAACCGCGTGGTGACATACAGTGGGGGCCACGCGGCATGGGTTAAGGGCTGCAGTTCCCAGAGCAGGGTCATCTTTATAACGTGACCTAGGAATGGATCCCAGAGCGGCCCTGAAGCTCCACCACACAAAAGGGAGACACCAGACCCGGAGCAGTGATGACCACACAGGGATTGGTGGGGCAAGCATCTCCAGAGTCACTCCAGCCTCTGGACCTGCCTGCCATCCCATACTCGTGCCAGGTGTGTTTAACGCGAGGGTGACTGTCCACGCTGCTCTCGCCTCACAGGTTTAGTAGAAAGACCTGTGAAGCCATCCTTGTGGGCAGGAATTGGGGGAGGCCTGCCTGACACTTTCGCTCTCGTCCAGGCAAACCCGCATGTGGTCATTTGCCCAGCCAAACTACGTTGCAGGTAGTGGACCAGCTGCCATCTAGGCAAGCTGCCCAGACACACTTGAGGTCCTCCTCACCTAGAGGTGAGCTGGTGTGGAACTGATCTCTGTCCCCAGGGTGTTCCTGTTAGTAACTGGCACTGAATTTGCAGACATTTCTCTGTCAACACAGGACTCAGGAGTGTCTCGTCCAGAGACGCCCTGCTGCGTGACATGATGAGACTTAATCCCAGCTTGCCCACCAACAGTCGTGCAATTGGGCAGAGGCCAGGACTGGACAGGACAGCACAGTTGGTGGTGTACAGATGAGGGGAAGGAGGGAACACACGTCTAGAAGGGTGAACAGAAAATCATCGTTTATCTAAATAGAATAGAAATAAAAACCTTTTTAAAACAATCACAAAATTTACAAATAAATTGGTACAAAATAAATAGAGATTGTAAATCTACAACATCATTTGAGTTATAAAATGTGTCATGACCGTTGGCTCTGGACCCTGCAGACTTGACTTGTGCTTATGTCGCGTTGCACAGCTTGGAGCGCCGTGCTCAGAAGACCTGCGCTGCACAAAGCATGAAGTGGACACTATGACAGGGTGCTGAAGGGTGGTGATGACTGAGGAGGACGAGAGACAAAAGCGGGGGTGTGAGGACCAGGGCGGCACTGGCCCTGCACTCGCAAGGAAAGGCAACAGAGGTGCCCAGATGGGCAGGCAGCTCCACGGTCTGCAGAGGTGGGCTCTGCAGTTCCGGGACAGTGGAGGCTGTCGCTGTGGGCCCAGGGCAGCTGACTTGGCTTGGGAGGAGGATGGAAAGCGGAGAGAAACTGTGGTCTCACAGCCACACTGTCCTGCTGCACAGGAGAGCCAGCCACCAAAACTACCTCCTCAGTACTTCACAGGGACACGGCTCCATTCTTCCCACACTGGGCATCAGGAGGGAGGTCAGCCCAATAAAGGGCTAGGATCCTAGGGCCAGCCGAAGCACAGCATATTTTTCCCAGGACAGAGCAAACTATTGCCCTCTCACCCAACGTAAGGGACAGCAGAACCCCAGGCTCACGGGTGAGGGGCCTCTGCATCACAGACGGGCTAACAGAAGAGGCATATGTACATAATAAATAATATAAAATAAAGCATATACACTTGCAGATTTAAAGGCTGCAAAAACAAGTCAGTGGATTCGTGCCACTTTCACAGACAGCAGACACAGGGAGCAGTGAGTCAGCAGCTGGGTGGGATGCTCCTCCCCAGCTCCTGCTTGTAGGGCCTGGGTACCAACTGTTTGTGATCCTCAAAGGGCCTGAGTCTCCAAGAAAGAGACCCACTTGATAGTCCTCCTCAGGGTTTCTTCCTAAGTGAAATGACGTGGACCTGACCCAGCACATACCAGGTGCCCCCAGTGAAGCAGGGCAGCCCCCAGCCAGCCAGCCATCATATACCAGTCTCGATGGCAGCAAGTCCTGGAAATGTCATCCATGAACTCGAGTCTTTCTTGCTTACGTACTGGGCCTCTATAACACACGAACCTTCAAATAGGAACACCTACAACTTGACTCTCTTGCCACTAGTGCCTCTGGTCCCGTGGTGTTTTAAGTACCACCTGGGGTTTTCCATCAGATGTTTAAGCATGTCTAGTTGTGATGTCCTGGCTTTGGCACCAGATAAAGGTTACAGAGTCTGAGAAGTAAAGCTTCCCAGCCCAAGGCAGCAGGAAGAAGGTTGCTGCCTCTCTGCAGCTGCTCTGAACAGCCATCCCCTCCTCCTATCCTAGGGCTAACCAGGGACTCTGGAAGAGGAGACTTCAGAGCAGGGAGCTGCAGTGGAAAAGCCAGCAAGCAAGCACTGGCTGCAGGCTGCTGGTGGGGGAAAGCCCACGTGGCCACCATGAAGGACAGCACTAGATGAGCAGGCTTGGGCCGGGCACCACTCACTCCTCAGAGCAGGGCACTGAACCTCGACCTAGATACCTCCGGACCTATTTCTCAAATCAGTCCACTCAATCACGGAAGAAAAATTAACACAGCCCTGAGGTATGGAGGTCCACTGAGCAGATCACGTACTGGTGAGCCTGTATGAGAATCCCAAGTCCAAATTCTGGGTTCACTAAAACCCTCCCAGTTACTCTTGTAGGGCAGAAGCACCACAGCCCAGAAGGGAGAGCCAGTGTCAGGGCTGCAGAAGCTGCCTGGCCTTCCTTGTAGGCTTAGCCTGGCCAGAAGAGCCCATCTGTGGGCCCTACCCAGAGCGTGGAGGAAGCTCAGCCTAGGAGGCACAGGAAGTGGGCACCTCCCCACCTTGCTCTGAGGTCGGCTGCATGGGACCTCTCTTGCTGGGCCCAGGCCTTGAGAGGATGTTGGGGCCGGCAGTGTTGTTCCCAGACGAAACACAGGTTCAAACTGGCCAGCCTACTGAAATCTGGAGAAAGGAGTCCATGGACCCTACTCAGCTCAGAATGCTGCTGCTCCATTTCCTGGGGAAAATGGGTTTCTACTGGAATCCACTGTACTCTCCTAGGCTTGGAGAAGCTGGTCCGTTAGCGGCGTGCAAGGGGGATGGCAGGTTAAATCCATTCACAGTTCACGTTCCATGTTAGCAGGAAGCTCTGCACTCAAGCTTGTCTGTACAAGTTCCTGGAGAGGCCACAGGTAGGCGATGGCACAGCCCAGCTCCCCCGGCTGGGGACCAGCTGCGCCTGTGCTCATCCTGGCTGAGTCCATGTGGCGCCCTTCACATTACTCAGAAACCAAGGTTCAAGCTAGTTGATTTGAGCCCCAAAATCCATGCACAAATCATATAGTCCTGTTTTCCCACGAGTTTAAATACATAATTTTGGACTTGCCTGATCACACAGAACAGAACAATGAAAGGGCGGAGCCGCTAAGACCTAGGAGGGAAGCCTCCCACTGCACAGAGAGAAGGCAAAGTGTCCTGGGAACAACCAGACACGAGGAAGCCAGGTTTGGGGCGCCCCAGAGGAGAGAATGAAGAGGAGGGGAGAGAGGGGAGGGGAGGGCCTGGCGGAGCACGGTGGCACCCATCATCCCTCCTGCACTGGGAGACAGTGGCCGAGGGGGGACGATCCAGCCAGAGTTTGCCGAGTGGGGGCTGTGCCTTAAGATCCTGACCACCTGTCCCATGCTGGCTCTGGCTTTGGGGTACCCACCCTGCGCGTCTCCTCCAACTGCCTGGGGTCAGTGTCCTGTGTCCGAGGGGAGAGAGGGGCCTAGAAGAAGCAGCGAGGCTGCCGCAGGGAGCCCTGTGTGACAGGGGCGCAGATGCGAGCCCAGCTTCTGGGTACCTTGCTGTAACACAGCACAGATCAGCCGAGGCCAAGCCCAAGACCAGGGCGTCAGGCTGCGGTGTTGGGGCGCCCCGCCCGCCCAGGGTCCCTCTGCTCCAGAGTGCGCTCACCATCACACCTGTGTCCCTGGCACTGTGTTCAACGGATGAGTCCTCAAAGGTGGGTCCCTGACAGCGTGGGGCTCCCTGGGACCACATCCACAGCACGAGAGGGGCCAGTGTGGCCCTGCACCCGACAGAGGAAGAGGCCAAGACGGTCACCGCCCGACCCGGGCAGAACCGGCTCCGACTCCACACCGCCAGGGGTGGGGGTGGGGTGGCCGCTGGCTGGGGACAGTCTCACTGAGCCGAGGTTGGGATGGGCACGAACACTGCCGGGGACAGATCCCCGGGCCAGGGCTTTAAGCTTAGACACGTGGGTTATTCAGCCACAGAGAGGCACCCGTGGCCGCCACTACATGCGGTGAATTTGGTATCAGCCAGGGAATGCACGAAGCAGCCGCCTCACGTGTTTGGCTTCTGAATCCCTTTGCGGTCTCCGGTGCCCAAGGGGCCACTGGGTGGCTAGGCCCCAGGTCTGCAAGGAGGGGCAGAGGCTGGGGTTCCCCCTTCAAAACAGGGTTCTGGAAATGCCCTCCCACCAAGGCCGAGGTCGCCCATCTGCCAGCACCTAAGCTTGGCAGGGAGGAGTGCGGTGCTGGGACCCAGAGCACGCATGGGGGTGGGGGGCACTGCAGGGACCCCGCCTCCTGCAAGTGACAAACCGAGGCCTCATTCATTCTGGTGATAAAAATTCCTTACGGTGAGTGAAATTACATTCCCAGGCAAACGGCCACCCGGGAGGGGAAGGGGTGTGGGCGGAGAGCATCCCAGGTGGGACCCCCGCTCCCCGAGCGTCCACAGCGCCCCACGGGCCCTGGGTCTGAGTCCGTCCTGTCTGGGTCGCAGCGCGGACCACAGCAGAGTTAGACAGAATGACGTAAAACTCTGCAAGAGACACTTTTAAAAAACATGATCTCTTGAAAAAATAAACCGCGACAATTTTCAGCTTCATGCAGATTGCGGGAGAGTAATGATCAAGGTACAGCTGCAAAAATAAACATGATTCTGTGGGGCCGGAGCTCTGCTCCGCGGCCCGGCGCCACGCCCCATGTCGCTCCCACGCTCGCTCCTGCCTCTGTCCCTTCACGGCTCCCCGCCTCTGGCAGGGAGGGCAGAGTCTTTGGTCTCAGTGTCGCAGACACGCTGCCAGCCCCCCCCCCCCCGCGGCCCCGCGCCGGCCACTAGATGGCGCCCTCCCCATGCAGGCTGTGGTTGGCCTTGGCGTGTGCCACGCAGTTCTGCTCTGTAAGCAGGTTGGCCTTCTCGTCCGGCAACCCGTCGTGCAGCTCCGTGAGAGTCAATTCAATTTTAGTGTTTTCACTGTCTGAAGACGGAGGGGTTTTGTCCATTCGGGATGCCATCAAGGCATTTTGGTATTGCTGTCTGGAGATCTGGGGACGGACACAAACCGAGACAATGCACAGTGTTAGTTTCTCTCCGCTCCGCGTGCCCCACACCAGACCCCTGCCCCGCAGCGGCACACCAGAAGAAAAATGGTCCTTGCTCCTGGCGCATGAACCGACCCATTTTCTAGTCTTTGAGATGGGGGAGAGGAGGGTCTCATTAAGTTGCCCAACCTGGCCTCAACTTCCCAGGCTCAAGAGATCCTCCTGCCTCTGTTTCAGGGGCAGCTGGCACAACAGGTGTATGCCCCTGTGTGTGGCTTAGGCCACTCTGGAGCCCTGATTGACTCCCAGGAAAGTAACTTTGTATTTCCAAACTGTCTTAACTCAGACAGAGGCTGAGGATATAGCACAGTGTCTGCCTAGCAAGCTCAAGGTCATGAGCTTGATTACTGCTACAGATAACACCACACATCTGTAATCTGTTATCCAAGAGCCTGAGGCAGGAGGACTGCAAGTTTGAGACCACCCTGGGCAATTTAGTAAGACTTTATCTTAAAAAATAAACAGCCGGGGCTGGGGATTTAGCTTAACGGCATAAGCGCCTGCAGGCAGTCGTGAGTTCGGTCCCCGGTACCGATAAAAAGGAAAAAGACAAAAAATAAATAAATAAATAAATAAATAAACAGCCAGGCATGGTGGTGCCCTCCTGTAATCCCAGCACTTAGGAGACTGAGGCAGTAGCTCTGCCCCCAGTTTGAGGCTTGCCTGGTCCAAACAGTGAGCTCAAGGCTGGCCTTAATTGCACAGCTAGACCCTGCCTCAAAAAGACAACAAGAAAGAAAAAGGCTGGGGAGGTAGCCCAGAGATACAAGGCCCTGGGTTTGATCCCTAGGATGACTGAACACATACAGCAAGATCTTGTCTCAAAATACAAATAAATAAAAGGGCCAAGGAGATAGCTCAGAGGTACAGCAGGACTCACGTGGAGCTCACATGCCAGAGCCTAGGACAGAGCCTTGCTTCCTCCAGACCGAGGCCTGACATGGGGTTTAGAGTGGAGATTGCAGGGTCCCTTGGGCAGAGGCAGGAACTGAGCAGCCAGCAGGCCGCCGAAGAGGGTAGCAGCCACCACCAGGCCTGGCTGGCGCCCGCTCCCCACTCACCTTGACAAACTGCAGGTCCGAGAGGGCCCGCACGGAGTAGTCGGGGATGTAGACTTGCAGGAAGGAGGAGTTCAGCTGGTTATTGCTGCTGCCCAGTGTCGGCGTCACCGCATCCAGCCGATCACTTCGACTGAGGGAGTCTGAGTGGTTCAGGCCACACGGGCGTGGAGGGGACTTATTCTCACCTGGAACAGGAGAACAGCTTCGCAGTGAAGCAGATAAGCAGCAGTCTGTTCCCAAGTGAAAACATAATTGCTGTAGGAGCCCCACTGGCTTGGAGCTAAGGCCCTCATCCAGTGACCTGGGGTATCCCGCCCAGGCTGGTCACCGGTGCTTTGGGGCCAGCATACTCCTCTCAGCTGCCCACAGACAATGCCCCATCCCTAATGGCACAGGCTCTGCGCTGCCAGGCTCTGCCAGGTGCAGTACCAGCAAAAGCAAAGACTGGAGCCACTCCAGACATAAAATGAATTATATATAAAGAGAACAAATACTTCTGTCTGTTCAGCCTATACCCCCAGGCTAATGGATTAGTAACCCTCCCCCCACACCCCTACCTGTACTAAACCCTCCTACAACTGGGGATGCTTCAGTGTCTACCCGACAAAGAGGACACCAGGCTCTTAACAGGCTTGGCTCAGACAGCGCAGGGGCTGAGGGATCCTTCAGGAGGGTTCCGATGGCCTTCTTTCATTAAGATAAAATGATGGGGAGGCTGAGACAGGAGGACTGCATGAGCACGAGGCCATCCTGAGCCACATAGTGAGTTCAAGGCCAGCCTGAACTGCAGAATAAGACCCTGTTTTTAAAAAAAAAAAAAAAAAAAGTGAAAGAGTTGGGTGTGGTGATGCATGCCTATAGTCCCAACTCTCTGGGAGGCTAAGGCAGGAAAATCTGGGGCCAGCCTGGGCAACTCAGTGAGTTACTGAGACATTGTCCCAAAATTTAAAATAGAGCTGGGGCACTGGGGATGCAATGCAGTGTAAAGGTCCTAGGTTCAATCCCCAGTACCACCAAAGACAAAAAGAAAAGGATGAAGGGACTTGCGGATGGATGTCCCATTCTCAGAGGAGGAGAGATGCGATTCTTAATACAAATTTCATCAGAAATAACCCCCTGTACTAGGGCTTCTTTTTGCTGTCTGAGCGGAGGAGACTACGTCTCCCATCTGCTGGGGGCTCTCCCTGGCAGCAGCTCCCCAAAGCTGCTGGCCATAGCGGTCCCCTCTGGTGGCCATCAGAAAATCGGTCATGGACCAATCAAAACCTGCCACCCTCATGTCAAATGCCAGCAGCTTTCACTCTCCTCGCTGAAACAGCTGGAAAATTCTGGAGAGCTATGTTCTCCTGAGGTCCCTTCCTCTGTCACCTGTCACTGCTTCAGCAACGCTGCAGCCCATGGAGGTCACTAGGCTGATGCTGGAGACGAAGCCCTGGGCTGCAGCACTGGGCGCCCGCACTTCTGCCCATCAGGTCCTGAGTGTGCCTCTTACTGTGAGGCAGAGGCAGGCCGAAGGCTGCTTCCACCCAGCTCCCAGCGAACAAGGCACAGCACGGCTGAGTGGCGCGTCCTCCTTAGCAGGCGGGATAGGAGCAGGCGACCGGCTTTGCCAGCGCCAAGGCCTCTGCATGGCCGCAGCACCATGTCACACTGTGAATGCTTCCTGCTGCCGCCTCCTGCACCCCTGCCCTGCGCCCACTCTCAGGGCCAAATCCGCCCCCCAGGACTCCATCCCTTCTCTGACATAAAGGGCCTCTTCTCTACCCCAGGCTCCAGCTGGAGCACCCCCACCCCCCCAACCTACAGAGCCTCCTCGGGCAATGCCCACTTCCAACTGCTGGGATTTAAAGAGGCAAAATCAAGGCACCGGCTCAGTAGACCCTGGGCACTGGCAGGCAGCGCTGGGCCCCACAAATTTCTGGCCCCCCTTTCTCCTTGGTCATCATAGCCACCGTGGGGAAAAGTAGCCCCTCAGCTCAGTCACACCATGGGACAGAGCACCCAACTGGGCCTATGGGCTCTGTCCAGGTCTCAGGACAGAGACATCCTGACACTGACAGAGAATGGGGCACATCACCAGCCACCCAGGGCCACCCTGCAATCACATGTCCCCTACGGTGTGTGAGGACCCACAGTCCTCGAGATGAAGACCATGTTCTACCACCGACTTTATGTGCCTGCGTCTGCAGACAGACATTAGGAGGAGACCTTGGGCCCTGTGGGCCTGCTCCGGCTCTGATTTTGTTTCCTGCTGACCGTCTTGGCTTATCTTGTCTGTCCTGCCTGGGAGTCCCTTCCTTTCCTTTTGGCAGGAAGCTAGAAGATGCAATGAAGACACCCCCAGTGTCCTCCTTGGAAGGGGAGGCCCCTCTGGAGAGGATGCAAACTGCAGACTTGGTCCAAGCCCTGTTTACAAGGTGTCACATTACTGGGACCCCAGCAGTCCTTCAGGCTGGGACCAACAAGCTGGACTTTTTTATTCCGGATCAGACACAGTGAGCAGAACTATGAAATCTTTAAATTCTACAGCAAAAGCAAAATACAAATAACCTTTTCATGGACTTCAGCCAAAAGTCATCTACTTCAGCATGTGGGATATTATAAAAAGGTAGCAGAAGCTGGGTGTGGTGGTGCACACCTGTAATCCCAGCACTTCGGAGGCTGAGGCAGGAGGATCACTGCAAGTTAGAGGCCAGCCTGGGCTACATGAGGAGTTCAAAGACAGTCAGTCTGAATTGCATAGTGAGAACTGTCTCAAAAAAAAAAAAAAAACAGTACATAGGTAGCAGACACAAATATAATGAGGAAAAATACAACCATACATATATGCATACATACATATGCATGCATGTGTGTGCACAAGACACATTCTGTTGGCTGGTTCAATCCCAACAGTTCTGTGGATTATATTTCACCTCCTAATACTCCAACTTTTAAGCAGAGATCTGAGGGACACATGTTTCCTTCTAAGAAAGCACTGCCTCCTTCATCTGATGTTGGCACTGAAGAGTTTTGTTGAAAGTCAATTATGGACTGAAAATTTCATCACTTGTGTTTAAAAATAAAAACTACATGGATAAGATAATACAGAAAAAAACTATGTTACCCAATAGGAAAGCATAGCAATTTTAATTAAAGAAAGATTAAGCTTTTCCCTTTCTCTGTAAGGGCTGGAGATATTAGCCAAGCATAGCCATGTCTCCTGCAGGGACGTAATCAGCGGCTGGTTAGGAATGTGTGCAGCACTAATTTCAAAACAAAGAAGAAGAAACAGGATCAGCTGCCTGGCAGGGAGCAGACATGCATGCGCCCATCCACTGGAGAAGGGGCCGAGGAGCAGGAAGCAGTGGGCCTCTGGAGGTCCGGGAGTTTCCTTGGGAACAGTCACTAGTCCTTCAGCTTTGGCTGAATGCATTCTATCGAAGACCTCTGGATTCTGCTGTCAGGTTTTGATTCCCACAGGATGCCTGCAAACCCCACACCTCTGACTGCTTGTGGCTGAGGATTCCCAGCTAGCAGTGCAGGTGCATCAGGCAGCCCTGCTCCCTCCCAGGTGCCAGCAGCTCCCACAGCTGCTGTGGCTCTGCTTTCCTGGACAGCTCACTGTTAACTCAGAGAACCTCGTGGTTTGAGGGATCAAACAGAGGGAGTAGACATGGCCGGCCGGCTTTCTAGGGGCCGAGGGCAGGCGATCAGGAGAATTATGCAAAGGAAACATGCAGAATTACCTGGAGAGCCTGCTGCTAACAACTCTGTTCTGCTGACAACAAAGGTACGGGACAGGGACAAAGGAACTGAAAACGGAGAAAAACAGGGTGAGACCATATGGAAAGGAAGGAAGGGACAGGAGTGGACACCTGTTCTCCCCACGCAAGGCCAGAACCCTAAGCCATGTGGCACAGATAAGCCAAGAGCAGGAGGCCGAGTGGCCCGCTGCCCGGAGAGTTCTCTCTTATGCAGCTTCTCCAGCCAAGCAACTGCAGAAGTGTGCACAGCCGCGGCTCTGCAGGGCCCAACTGTGAACGCCCCACAGGGAGCCTCGGCCATGTCCCCACCCAGCCGTGCACCCACCCAGCTCTCCCACCCGATGCAGGCAGGGCACCTCGTGGTGGCAAGCAGCTTGCTACCCGATGCCTTGGGGTACACTGTGACCCGATGCTTTGAATTTCTTTAGAAGTATTTCCAATTTTAACATAGAAAAAAGAGAATCAAGAATGGTATGCCCCTGTTCTCTGGGAACAGCTTGCTGAACCCAGAGCTACAGCCCAGACACAGCGTGGGTCCAGAGAACCAGGACCCACATTCCTCTGGGACAGGGACCCAGGCAAACAGTAACAGGTGTCTCTGTGTGGTGACAGGCCCACCACCAACCAGAGCTCCCATGAACACAGAAGCCCACGTCCTAGTTGTAAAGTCAAGTAATACACTAGGCTCTGCAATAAATAAGATACTGTTAATGAACTCCCTTTCTTGTTGATAGCTTCACACCAGGGGGAGGCAGCCATGGCAGCCAGAAAGGCTTCCCAGAGAAGGGCCTTTCTTCCATTCTGTGAAAAGGACTTGGTCTTCAGCATGGGCCAGTCTAGCCTGAGCTAATGCTTAGGGTTAAAGAAATTATGAGCACAAGCCTATCTTTTACTTTCTTTTCAAACCTGTCTCCCAGACCTGGTTCGGCTAACTTAGGGTTAATTTGAGTTTGGTTGCCAAAAGTAGTTACACTTACAGCAGCTTTCCCCTACATTTGTTTAGTTTGGTCTGTCTTTTTGAGATAGGGTCTTGCTATGTTGCTCAGACTAGCCCCATACTAGTGGCAATCCTCCTTCCTCAGCCTGTCGAGGGCTGGGATTACAGCCATGCACCACCATGTTTTAAAGATCACGCTGCATTTGTACTAAGCATCACTGCCTTCTGTCCTAACAGGAATATGAAAGCGTGGTAATAAGGAGCAGACCAAAGGCCTCCTGATACCACACAGCCTGCAAGGGTGGGAACAATGGCCGGGTCTCCCAGGCTTGTGACCAAGCAGCAGAAACGGATACTCCCTGCCAAGCTGACAAGGCTTCCTGATCATGAACGAGGTCAGCCTACAGGTGACAGGCATCAGCCGACAATGAGGACAGTGTGACTCCAAACCCTGCACAGGAGCATGAGGACATGGCTCTTGCTGAGTCACTTGCTCTCTAACTGCAATGTCCTCCTCAGACAGTGGAGGGGCGTAGGAGCCAAAAACCAGCTGCACAAAACACCTTGCTTGGAGGCACTGCCCCTCCAGTTTTCAGGTCAGGTTTTCAGCGGGGCCAGCATCTTTTTAGGACAAGCGGTTGCAGGCTAGAGGTTTGCAAGTTTCTTAGAGCAGCACAGCACTTGGTGTTTTGGCCACAAGGTGGCACCCCAACACCTCCGTCTACCTGCTGGGCCGCTCCAGCCAGGCGCCGGGTGAGCACTGGCGGGAGCCCTCGCATACAGGTGAGGCAAGAGACTGATCGGTCCACGGCCATGGGAAGGGGACACCGGGACCGCTCCTTCCCTGCTGGCATCCCGTGCTCAGGAACGTGGCCAATGCCCTGCACCTTGCCATTTGAGCGGGCCGGGAAGCACGGCTGGCGGGGCACCCGGTAGTCAGGAGGAGGTGAGCATGCGGAGTTGGAGCCTGGCCGGACGTGTGCCTGGCCAGAGCCGGAGGCCGCCCCGCGCCCCGGCCTCTGCAAGGCGCTCCGCAGCGGGGCGGACCCGGCGAGCGACGGCATGCGCGACACAGCGGGCGAGTGGGACACAGGCGAGGGAGCTAGGCGTGGCAGATGACCACACGCTGCGGGATTCCAGCTGCACCGCGGTCCCGGGGCAGCAGCCGCAGTCGGGGCAAGGGACTCAGGGAGGAGAGCGGGAGCGCGCTGGGCGGGCGCGCGCCCACGCAGGCGCACTCAGTGTGCGCGAGCGCAACAGGGCTCCAGGTCACCCGTGCAGCTCCAGAACACACCGGGCGCAGCTGTGCGGCCCCGGCAGCAGCGGCTGGGACAGACTCACCTGGGGAGGCCGTGAGGGCCATCACGCCGTAGTAGGAGAAGGCGCTGGCTTCGAACTTCATGCCTTCCTTCCCGGCCTCCACTTCCACCTTCCCCTGCGGAGAGATGAGGGCGTTCAGATGGCGCGCACGAGTCCCCATGCTCGCTCCTGAAACGCATAACTTGGTCCTTCTTCAGAGTCTTGTCTAAATTCCCTTCCCGTGGAGTGGCTTAATTAATCCTAAACAGGGGAACTGGATTTGGCAGGCTCGGCGGAAGAACCTGGCCTGCCCTGGTGGCTGCCGTCTGTGAGCCCACTTAGTAGTGTCCCAGCGCCCTTAGCCCGAGACTCTTCCATGCGCCCTCCCAGAAAAAGCCCAGCTCCAGCTCCCAGGGGCAGAGGTCAGCGTGGTCACAGCTGCGCCAGAGAGGAGGGTGCAGGCCCCGGGACACTGCCCGCGCGGTCTCGGGAGCGCAGCACCCAGAGCAAGTGGGCAGCTGCTCCAGAGCACAGGCCCAGCAGACTTCCCTCGCTGCCCCAGAAAAGTGCCTGAGAGCAAACCTCCCTCCTCTCCCGAGCTCGCCCCTCCATGCCCTTCCTGGACAGACTGCCTCGTCCACCCTGTGGCCTGCAACCTGCCACAGTAGGTCCAGCGAAGGTGTTCTCTAGGGCGAGGGCAGCCTGAGGCACAGCCCCAAGGGGCAGGTCGGTGCCAGGCCATCACTTCCTGAAGTGGAACTGATATTTCAGTGTTATATTGAGCCACTAAATGCACCTAGCTCTGTGAAGCAGACACAACTTCTCATAGGGAAGAGCTCACAAAGACCCAGGGACCAGAGAACACTCACAGCCACTCTCAGCCAATGTGCTGCACCAGCAGCTGCCTCTGCACGCCTGGTGCCCTAACCCATCCCTGTTCAATTAACCTATATATTAACGCCCCAATAATAGAAGACCTTCCTCAAGTTATTCTTTTAGTTTTTCCTTCACTTAATGGAAATACTGGTCTGAATTCTCTTGCTATAAGAAAGAGACTTAAAAAGGAGTATCTGTCTGTTTTGGTGGTGCCGGTACTGAAGCCAGGACCTGGCCCAAGCTGGCCAGTGCTCCATCCTCAGAATCCCTTCCATCTATCTATTTGTTTAGTAGCACTGAAGAGTGAGGCCAGGGCCTTCTCACTTAGCTGCATCCTCAGCTATATCCTTTTATTTTGAGATAAGGTCTACTAAATTGACCACGTAGGGCTCAAAATTGTGATTCTCCTGCCTCAACCTCCCAAATGCTAGGATGACAAGCATACCTCACAGAATTTTAAATCAGTCTGCAAACAAGCAGGTGCTAAAAGCCCTGCCATGCAGGCAAGAGCCTATAGGGGAGGCCAGGCTGGTGAAGAGACAGGCCTTGCCCTGGAGCACATGATAGCAGACTACACCCATAAACAAAGAGTGAGCAGCAGAGCTCAGAGAAAGGCACGCACCCTATACTTGTATGAAGCTGTGTGCATATGAGAAGGAGAGGCACGGTGAGCTTGGTCTCCCCGAACCAACCAAAAGGTGCACTGTGAAGGAGGGTGGGTGGGCGACACCAGTGCCAGCCATGCCTGGGAAGGCAGGGACAGCCTAAAGGCCACGAGGCAAGCACACCAGGCCACAGGGCACCTGAAGTGCTGGCTGAGGAGGCCAGGTCCCGGGCAGAGGAAGCCTGTTCTAAGAAGCTGCAGTGCAGACCATACTGGGTGGAGAGGGCAACGCAGAAGCTCTGGGTAAGGCATCTGCAGCCGGGGACCCTGGCAGGGAGGGGCAGGGCGCGGCCAGGGGAAGTCATGGCCCAGAGAAGGTGGCTCCAAGAGATCTGAAGACACGTCACGCGAGGGGACGGAAGGGTCTGGAAGGAACTGACCAAGTGGCAGGGTTGGGAGGAGAGGGTGGATTCCAATTTGGAACAAGGCCTCCCTCCGAACGTTTGAGCTGGAGGGAGAAGGCTGGGAGGGGGGGTACCTGAAGGCACCCGATAGCTGTCACAAATGGAGGAGAGAAGACAAATGGTGGAGATGGGCCGAGAATAAGGCCAGCCTGCCACTCACGACTGAAGAGGACAGCCAAGAACCAAGGGGGACAGAAGGACCACCAGGCAGGGGCAGCACCTGGTGAATGTCGCCAGGGAAACGGGCCTGTTGGCCACAGATGGCCAGGGGATAGAGGACGCTGAGGAGGGAGCAGGGGCTGAGAAGGCTGTGGGTAGGCCACAGCTGGCCTCTGCCTTGGGGCCTGTGGGCCGTGCAGGGGCCAGTGTGGGGCAGCAAGGGGCAATGGGACGTGGATGCCAGGCCTGCAGAGCACAGGAGGACAGAGCAGTCAGGAGAAGCAGGGTGCACCCAGCCTTCCTGCCGAGCTCGCAGCCTGAGTGGCATCCCTGTGGCCTCTCTGGACACGCTGAGCTGGACACTCCTGCCCCCTTCCTGTGCCTGCAGATTCTTTCTCTACTTTGGCTTCCAAGCAGAACTCGGGCGGCTCCATCTCCACCGCATCTGGTGGCTAATTTTACCAGCTTCGGGGCCTTGTGTGTGGTGTTTCTGCACATGAGTATCAGCTTGCACTCAGCTCCTTGCTGACAAACTAGAGCAGCACAGCAACCATCACCACACAGTGGGATGGGACAGGACAGCAGCCACCTCTCTCTCCAGGAAAGAAGCTGTCCTGTGGCCACTTACAGCACGGACCCAAGACTACCACAGTTCCCCTGCTGGGCCCAGCACGATCCCACTCCCAGGCCTTCTGAGTTAACTGGCAAGGTGTGGCCTGGATCATGGAATTTTTAAAGCTCTCCGGGTGACCTTGGCCAGCAGCAAAGTTCGGGAGTCAGTGTTTCCAAGCTGCGTGTGAGTGGTGGCCTCAGCTCTGGAAACCGTGTGCCTGGGCTCATGGGAGCCTGTTGGGAAGGCATGGAGGCCTCGAGCTGCTAATTAAACAAGGCAGCTGCACAAAGATTTGTAGCACAAGAGTACAGCCAGCTCAAGATGGGGCCCTGAGCATGGGAGCGGCGGCTGTGCTCTGAGCCTTGGGGTCCAGACCCGCGGGGCTCCAGGCGGACACTGTACCTCACTGGGTCCTAGACAGGTTTGCAGGAGCCAGAGTGAGCTACTCGCTCCCCAGCGCAGGTCAGACACAGTGTGGCCTAATGTTTGCTTCGTTATTGACTATTACCATCATGTCATAAACAGCCAGGCATTTCAAACTCCCAAATTCCAAAACATAAGTAATGCCAGGCCAAGTTTTCAAACTAAATACATAGATTTATGGAAAATCTATTGCAACTGTTTTTCTTCTTTTTTCATTTTGGTGAAAACTCTTTGTCACTTAGGAACTAGATTAACTTTATTCCACTTATAAAATCACAACAGATTAAAGGGTCCCTGCAGTTCTTTCAGTTCTAACATTGTTTGGTTTTTTACCATCACAAAAGGTCTAAGAACCGACCCACTGCATGGCCCTCTCCATGGGAGTTCAACTCTTCTGGCAGGTAAATTTTAGGACTAGGACTACAGTAAGCACACCTTTTACTCACGGTGGTATGTACCAACAGGTCCAAGAGATCACATTCAAATAACACCATGCGTAGGGATTAGGGCAGTCCCCACAAGGCCATGGTTTGCCTGCTCTAGTTAGCGCCTTCTCAGGTAACATTTTCCATGTAAGGAAGGTACTCAGCACATATCATTTTGCTTTTGAAATATTTATTATCTACTCTATCATATCACGTGAGGAAGCAAAAGAGGCGGGGGGAGGGGGAGAAAGTGAGAGAGGATAGGATAATAAAAGGCTCCTGACACTCCTGGAGGAACGAGGGCTCTGTCCCTGGACCAGCTTTTAGGAAGGTGGCCTTGCACCCTCTGGTCAGCGCAGCTCCGCACAGAGCAGAGCTCAAGGCTCGGTGCAGCCTGACCGCTGCAGCCCGAAGCCTCCTCCAGAGCTGCCTGCAAGCAGCAGTGGCCTCCTGCTCTCTCTCTCCAGCTGAGCTTTCTGTGCTCTCCTTCTCTTTTTCCAAAACATCACCATCACAAAGCACGCAGAGGGGCTGAACACCAAAAGGAGGCCAGGAAACGCCAGGGGCACCAACATCAGATTTTTGCCAGCAGCCCCAGCAGGGGAGGAAGCACCATCCAGAGACCCTGCATGCCTTGTGCTCCTATCTTCCGCTCTAGCTGTGGTTTTCCATCCAGTGGCTGCCGCTGTGGACTGGGGCAGACTTTGCAAGTTTGCTTCATAAATGTTTCCTTTCTTTTAAATTCTGGTGGTCAAAAGTTAATTTGACAGGGGGCTGGGGGTTTAGCTCAGCGGCGTAAGCACCTGCCTTGAAAGCAGACAGTCGTGAGTTCAATCCCTGGTACCGATAAAAAGGAAAAAGACAAAAAAAAAAAAAAAAGTTAATTTGACCATCTTCCAACCCACTGCAGCCACCAGGTATCAATGCCACCACCGCCCTGGCTGACAGTCACTCTGTGTCAAGTTGTGTGGCTCCAGTCATCTGGTTGAGCCTTGACACTTAAACACCAACTGAGTCAGGACCCAGACCTGCAGTGAACAAGGTCCTCAGGGTGCCTGGTGCAAGTGAGAGAAAGACTGAGCTAGAAGAAAGGCCATGGCCGCACTCACAGGGAAGTAACTCAGGTCTGCCGGGGGAGACAGAATAACTGCCAACACACTGCACAGTTCGTGCCAGTGCAGCCAGGGTGGGGGTTTCAGTCCTCCTGAAACCCAGGGGCGCAGGCGAAAGGAGCATGTACCGCAGCACCCTAGTCTCGGTACTATGCAAGTGGGGCTCTGGGTGAGCTGAGCTGAGCTTTGCATTGCTTTTGTACGTTTCTTTACATTTGGAATTAAATAATTTGCAAATTTGTTTTGCTTTGTAGTCATGAATAAGAGTTCTAAGCAAAAGCAGCTAATCCAGTTTTAGATTTACAGATACTATTTATTCAACATAATTTTTAAAAATAGGGTCACTGCGGAGAGTCCAAGTAATTTTTTTCTTTAAAATGGGTGTATTACTTGCACTTACAACTGCAGTGCAGGTACACTGGGACACAAAGACCTGACATTCAAACCCTGGAAGAAAATCTGTGTGTTTGGGTTTTGCTTTTTTGTTTTCTGAGACAGGGTCTCACCGTGCATAGTTCAGGCTGGCTTAAACTCACTGTGTAGCTCAGGCTGACTCAAACTCCTGGGGATGCCTTACCTCCATCTCCCAAATGCTGGGATTTCAGGAGTACGCCACCACCACTGGCAGAAAATTTGGTATTGAGTTTAAATTCTTCTCCCAAGAGGAGGTGAAACCATATTAAGTCCTGGCGAGGGCCGGAAGACTTCTGCCGTGGCCTGTATCTAGATCTCCCCTTCAAAGCCTCATGCATTAAATTCAAAGTGGGCTTTTGGGAGAGGTGGCTGGATCATGGCTGTGTGATAACTAGTTAATCCTCTGGTGTGGCATAGTTCTGGGTACAGATAATGGAAAGGCCCACGCTGGGTGTGGAGGGGACCAACCAATAGGCTTACAGCTAGGATAGAATAAAAAAGGGAAAGGAAAGCTCCCTGACTGCTGCTTCCTGCTTGCTAGGCTATAAACTGCCTCCTCTGTCAGGCTTCCCTGCCTTGGAACCAGCCGACTATGCGCTGAAATGTCTACCAACTGTGAGCCAAAATAAACCTCTCTTTCTTTAACTTACAGGTGTTGGGTATTATGTTTTGTCTGAGTAACAAGAAAGTAACTAAAACAGATTTGTTCCAGAGAAATGAAGTTGTTACTGTGACACTAGTTGGCCACACGGTTCAAGAACCTTTTGAACTGGCTTATGGGAAGAGTTGGGAAGGTTTGGAGATGTCAGCTGAAGAGGAGGCAGGGTCTCACTATGTAGCCCAGGGCTGACCTTGAACTCACAGGGATCCTCCTGCCTCAGCCTCCCAGGTGCTGGGATTACAGGCATGTACCACCATGCCCAGCAAGTATTGATATTATTTTATTCTTTTGTACTGGGAATCTAACTCAGGGCTTTTCACTTGTCAGGCAGGCATTGTACTGCTGAACTACATCCCTAGCGATATTAATCAAATAAAATATGAAATTTTGATTTGTGATTGGTAAGGGTTGCTCATTTGAGTTTATTTTTATGACAGTTTTTAGTTTTTTAGTTTATGGTTTTGCTCTTTTTCAAGCTAATTATAGTTTTCCATGTTTTATTTAAGTACTTAGAGAAATAGCATTTCTTAAAATTATGATACATTGTAGAGATGGTACTTATATTATTAATAGTCTTATGGTATATTATCTACTTTAAGATAGTCTATGTATTTTTTCCTAATTCAGTTGCTATTTATAGCTTTTATTTTACCATTAGTTCTATTTTTAAAGGACTATTTAAATAGGTAGGACGTGCACATGCTAAGAAATGCAAACCATTCAAGGGAGAAATGCTTCTTTCCCTTCTCCTCCCATGTCTCCTCTGGAGAAGGAACAATTATTACCAGTTTCTTGAATAACATATCAGGGAAATTTCGATTATATATATATAAGTCTGTATGAGAGAAAAGTACTACAGTTCTGTTCCTTTACACAAATGACAACATGTTTACAACGTTACACAAGAGAGAATTTATCATCATGTTTAGTACTTTTAAATTACATATTTTTATCCCTAGTTTATTAAGGTCTATGTAGTGATTTTGTGAAATTTTTATCTTTTGTAATTACTAGAATGGGCACTGTGACATAGTATATGATCAATTTTTCCGGCTTAAGTGTCTGATTTTCCCAATCAGTTAGTTTTATTTTACTAGGTGTGCAGTTCTAAGACACTGGATAACTATTCCTTGTTCTTTTACAATGATAGAAATATTTTCCATCAAAATGATGTGCCTTTCTGTTTCCTCCTTCTGAATGCATACTTTGTTAAGTTATTTAAGGCAAAGAGAGCCAATAAAGATTTTGTCAGGCTTTACTGTGTTTCCATCATTGTCTCTATCAATCCCTCAAAGCACTATAGCTTAAAAATCTACTTTTTGGGTGAATTTGAAAGTTTAGCTTTTTTATACATATATAACAGGAAAGGCCTCAGACTTGGAAGCCGGTGTGTTTCTAGCATAGTTAGGGTCCCAACAACGACTCTCTCAGGAATGTTTTTCTTTTTTCGGTACGGGGACTCAAAATCACAACCTTGCACTTGCCAGGCAGGTGCTATGCCACGGAGCTGTTTCTGACGTTGCAGGGGAGAGCATCTGGCTGGTGCTGAAACAGAGGAAGGAGAGCTCAGCTGGCCTCTCCCGTGTTTCTGAAAAGCGGGGCTCCACACCCCAGTGCCGGCCACCCCGGGTGCAGTGCAGGCTTTAGAGTGTGCTTTGCAAATGATGGTGACCACGCCAGGCTGCCAGAGGGTGTCGCGCATTCACCCTGCTGCTTTCTGGGCATCCCTGGCATTGGCGAGCCTGTGACACTAGGACGTACCAAAGCCCAACGTTTCAACGCCTGCTCTTCCAGCACACAGGCTGTTTACAAAACCCGTGACGCCACTCACTCTGCAAACATCACCCTGACATAAGCATTCAACATAAGGAAACAGTCAAATATGGGTTTAGCCACCTAAAATGTCTTAGTCTTATCAAAAATCCTTTAAAAGGTTCACGACTTGTGAATGAACAGAGATGATAAAGTCCTTCCATTTAAGAACTACGGCCTTTTGATCTAGCAACAGAGCATCACTGAGTCACAACTAAATAAACTGCAACTATACGAGAAGAGAACTGATAGGCATCATTTCTAATGTTACCCCTAAAATTCACGATACCAATACCCTGATTCTTCCGAATAAGTCTTTAATGTCACTCAGAGTTTCTGTAGAGTTAGGGGACAGTCACATCTAGATTCTATGTGTAGCATGAATGTCCTGTTCTCCAGAGAAGATGTAGGGAATAAGATGAACGTGAGCAGAAGATTTAGGGTACTGCACGGAGCCCAGGACCACAAGCTCCTAAGGAAGGAAACCTCTCACTAATTTATTCCTCACTGCTCTTTCCAGACCCTGTAACAGAGCTCAGGGATGGCCTCTGTGGACCCATCACTGCAGACATTTCTGACATCTACAGGCCTGACACGAGCTTGTTTCAAATGAAAATAAACTCCATAATTCACTTAGTAATTAGAGCCTTGCTGAGCTTATGTAAATTTGGGCATTAATTATACTCCTGCAAAGGGATTTCCAGTTCATATCTAGGTAATAACCAAGAAATACAAGCAAGCATAAGGGGCTAATCTTCTGGTATTGAAATAAACTCAGATTTCCTGACAAGGATGTTTCATCTATAAAGAGGCACAAGAAGTCAATAAAACTAGGCTTTTATTCATCTTAATGCCCAGCTTGGCCTCCATGCCAAGGTAGCACAAATAGGATACAAGGCCTCCTACTAGCTCCAGCACAGGAGCCCTCAAAGCGGTCAGAATGGGTGCCCCCCCACCCATATGCCAATTCCGTTCTAGTACAAAGGAAGTGGGCACCGCTACCCTGTGAACCTTGGACATCACATCGGATCCCATCAAATAGTCTGGTTAGTTACAAGGGGTAAAAGCAGTGAGTGGATTGTTTGGATGGTGCTCATGGAAGGCACTGAGAGACTTCTTAGTCACAGTGTAAGATCAAGTCCAAATAAGAGACGAAAAAGTGAAAAGGTGATACGAAGAGAACCAAGGATCACCCAATAATAAGTTTCAAAAACAAACCAAGATTGCAATAGGGACAGGTGCTTCCCCAAACTCTTCCAAAGAAGTAACAGACTAGGAGATGGGGCACAGATAGGACAGGCTGTGGGGATGGGATGGTCACAAGATCTGCCCTCGCCCTGGAGGGGCCTGCAGCCTGACCCTGCACCTGGCTGGATCTCACTCCTGCCTCTTGAGCTCACCTCATGCCCCCATTGACCTCGGAGCCCTCTGGCTACAGGTAGGACAGGACAGCCAAAGAGCTCTGCTCAGTGCTGGGCTATTCCCTGGACCTGCACCTGTGCCAGTCACTCTGGTCTTCATGTCTTAACACAGAGCGTGGAGTCGGGCTTGCGCTGGACCCAGAGAAATCTGCATTAGTGTATTCAGGCAACAGGTCTCAACTGAGTAACTCTAGGCCCCAGGTCCTGCAAGAGTGATGGGGGATCTACAGGTGAATGTGAAGAGATGCAGGTGACCCTGCCCAACAGAGATCTCCAGCCCTGAGGGGGCACAGACAAGCAAACCTACCATTAGAGCAAGCAGGTAAGTTCTACGGAGGCAAAACTGGAGACTCTGGGCAGTGGCATGCTGGGAAATGTGTAACAACAGCTCTCCAAAAAATATGAGTGGATACCCATGTCTTTATGGATATTACCAATATGAAGTGTTTAAGGCAAGTAACAAAATATATGATACTCTGTTATAAAACAGAAGTAACAACCTGATTCAGCATTCTTCATTTGACTTGGTGCCTCAACAGGCATGCTTAGCCTTCAGCACCCAGAAATAAGGTAACTATAAACTCTTGTATTAGAGTTATTTTACACTGTGGAAACAAAGAGGCGAAATTCTCCCCCAACACAAAAAGTGAAAGACAAAACCACTCTTGAGACCTATAGCCTACCCCGGCCCCCTCCCGCTGCCCGGGGCCTACGGTACCAGCCCTGCCAGGTGATGCCTCTGACCTGCAGGATGAGCACGAAGTAGTCCACGGGCTTGTTGCGCTGGTAGAGGTAGAACTCAGGGGCTTTCTTGTTCTTCTCATCGTACTTCAGCTCCTGGATGACATTGGGGTGCTTTAGCAGTCTTAGAAGGATCTTCTCTGACATCTGGGATGGGCTAAATGCTTCTACTTCTATAGACATAAACACAACCTGACATTACACTCAAGTGGACAGAAAGGGTCACGCTAGTAAGCAAAGTGTGCAGACAGTGAGAACTCAGCATCCAAGTGACCAACGTGGAGGCACAGACTTCGGTTTGGTGATCCACTGGGGATAGAGTGCCTGAGAGAGATTAGAGTATGCTTGCAGTCTCCTAGCTGTCCCTTTTCATCTTTCTTCACCCTGCCATGGTTTCCCTCTCAGGAAAACGTCCTGCACTGCCAACCAGCAGCGGCTTTGAGCACCAGTGGAGCCTCCGACAGCCGCCAGGGAGGCCGCAGGGTGGGGTGTGGAGGTGCAGGCGCAGCTTCCATCCCTACAACTGTGCTGAGAAATCCCGGGCCACCGAGGGAGGCTGGAAGGAAAGCAAGGCCGTGCACACACCAACATGCACGCCAGCTCGCCAGCGGAAGGGAACACTGGTCAGCATTTACACAGGTAGAACCTTATTTCAAATAAAAAATCAAAATTACTGACTGGAGGGCACTGTCTTGGAACTGGACTTTATAATTTCTTTTAGAGGCCGGGTAGGGTAACATTTAGCATTCTATTGGTTTTCGTTTTGGTCTGGCTTTTCTTTTGAGGCAGGGTCTCATTAGATAGTCTATGCTGGCTGTGAACACGAGTCTCCCTGGCTTGGTCTCTGAGGGCTGGGATTCCAGGCCTGCACCACCACACCTGTGAGTATGTGGCTCTTAATTGATGAGAAACCATAATATCAGAATTAGAACAAAAATATTAAGCAAATTAAAGATCTCATTTTTTCACTTAGTTGCTGTGTGTGAATGCTATAAATTCTGAATTTACTTCTGTGACTTTATTGATAATACATTGTAGAAAGTTAGGAAAATAGGAAAAAGATAAAAAAGAACATAAAAATTACCTATAAGCCAACCACACATGTAACATCCAGAGCAATGTGATGTGTTGTTCTAGGGCTCTGCCTAAGCATGTGTGCCTGTGTGTGTGCATGTGTATACTCACAGAAACACAATCATAATCTTAAGTACACAAAGTTCTCTAAGGTATTTTTCCCACCTTATTTTACAGTATATCATGGACATCTTCCCATTCATAAATACTATATTGTGAGCATTTCCAGGTATCTGAAAACCCAGTCTGAAAGTGCAGCTGGCATTCCATCACATGGCTGCTGGTTGCTTCCTTTTCAAAAAATTCTATATATGCTGCATGCAGCTGAAAGGCACCGGCTGCACATCTTGGAGACAGATGTCTTCCACACGGCTCTGAATAGCTTCGGATTTTGTCTCACTTGCCCAGGCTAACAGAGCCACAGGGGAGGGGATGGTCAATCTCTGGGGTCCATTCAACTTTGACCTCTCGGGAGCAACCTATGCTGGCTAGGGTGGTGGCTTTAGGAGTAATGTGAGTACTGCTGCCTACAGCGGGCCTAAGTTAGTAACCTAGTTTGAAGAGTCCATCCAGAAATCCCTGTCAAAGTCCTGGGAGCCTCTCATTTCACCAGAACCATAAAAGACAAAGATTAATTCTGAAAATCTATTTTTCTTCTTTGCAAAACAAAGCACCTGCATTACCACTGATGTCCAACTGCTCTTCCAGGGCGGGCTGCAGAGACAATTAGCCAACTAGGTGGCGTCTGTTGGCACTGCCAGCCTGCTCGCTGGCCTCTCCCCCATGGGCTGAGCTGCAAGGCGCTGGCCTAGCCTATGTACACATGCAGTGTGGCTCTCGGTCATCCTTACCTTTCAGACCAATTTTAAGTTACTGGTCCACCTCTAGTAAATGTCTCAGAGGGTTCATGCCGACACTGAACACAGGAGAGGAGAGAATTTAAAGAGAAAAAAACAAAACAAAACAAAAAACAAAACAAAAACAAAAACAAAACACAAAAGTGGCATTACTCATCACCCGCGTCGCAGCCCTACCCCAACCCCACTGTGCTGAGAGCTGGCTGGCGGTGGCACAGGCCGGGATAAGTGCACTTGCCTGTTGCTAGGAAACGGTGCATGGCCAGGAGAAGCTGCGGGGAGATTTTAACCTTCATCTCGCTGTCTGTCTGCTTGAAGGCAGAAAAGTCTTGCTTTCTTTCACGGTGGGCCACCTTCTTTTTCGTTCTGTTATCGGCTGAGGGGAAAGAGAAGAACAATATGAGGAAATGCAGTTGCCAGATCAAGGCTCTTGTTGGGTAAGAGACAGGCACAGCGGGAAGACTCTCGTCACGGGAAGACTTTCGTCGTGGTTAGGTGCTGCCTGCAGTAGCCATTGCCACCACTGCCACCAGAAGGGAAGAGTGCTTCTGTCTCAGCCGCAGAGTGGTACACAGGCACCCTTATGTGACTGGCAGAAGGGATCAGAAGCCCGCAAGGCAGCGGCTGTGTGGCCTGAGGGGCAGCCGTGCGTCCTGAGGCTCCCTGTCACCGTGTGGCAGGGAAGCAGCTGCTCCTGCCTTAAACAAACAAACAAACAAAACTCCTCAAGAAACAAACCAGAGTGCAGCCACCCAACACTCAGACTATCTATGTGCTTCATTATTACTTGGACCACGACAGACTCAAGGTCAGGCCATGCCGTGACGGTTACCAGTACAAGGCCGCAAGCCCTGGCCAGAGGCCCACAGGCCCGCATGCCAGGTGCTGTGTCCTATCCACTGTCGCAACAAATCCATGTGCTACTCAGCAGTGCTCCAGCGAAGCTCTGCTTAGGGACAGTGGAATTGAAACTCTGTCCTGTTTCACACGTCATGGAGTAATTAGTCTTCTTTTTACATTTTCAATCATTTAAAAACGGGAAACTCAGCTTGCAGGTTATTCAAAAACAGTGGCAGGTACTCACAGCTGTGGTCTGCATGCCCGGACACAGAAGGTCATCTCCTGCAATGCCATTTTCCAAGTACTTTGCTGAACAAAATAACAATCAAGGAAAAACTGCCAAACACAAGGCACCAACTGCTGGCTTTGCCCGAGAATCCTTAGTCCCTGCAGTCTGATTTCCTACCCAGGGAAAACCAGATTGCTTACAAGGCTTTTCTGGAGAGAAGGTGATCATATTTTATACTTTTTTTAAATCTCAAGTCTTTTTGAGAACAGACAGTGTAAATCAATACAAAGCTTTAAAATAATTTTCTAAAGGTAATGGCCTCATCAGTTCTGATCTATTTAGATCAAGATTATAACCTGGGCATCCCATCACTCCAGGAGGCTGAGGCAGAAGATTACAAGCTCAAGTCCAGCCTGGGCAACTGCTGGAGACCCTGTCTCAAAAGAAAAAATAACAGGGGGCTGAGAGGGGCCGGGGATTTAGCTCAGTGGCATAAGTGCCTGCCTGGCAAGAGAGAGGTCATGATCTGATCCCCAGCACCAAAAACAAACAAACAAAAAAAAGGGGCTGAGAATGTTGCTTAGTGTGAGCCTGTGTTCAACTAACTAGCTAGCTAACTAACTAACTAATTAAATGGAATAGAGTAGACCCAAAATCACAAGTTCAGCACTTTATACTAGCAAGACACAAAACTTGTATAGGAAATCTATCCAATCAAGTAGTAAAAGAAGCTCAATAATATTTCTTTTTTTTTTTTTTTGTCTTTTTTGAGACGGCCTCTCCCTATGCAGTTCAGGCTGGCCTTGAGCTCATTTTGTAGCCCCGGTTGGTCTCGAACTCGCAACGATCCTCCCACCTCAGCCTCCCAAGTGCTGGGATTACAGGCCACTATGAGCCACCATGCCCGGCAATAGTATTTCTATAAAATCAAAAAATGTAAGCTCTCAACAATGGTTACACTTTCTCACAAAAAAAATCTACGGAGACCCAGTGGGCATCAGAATAGCTTATGAGTTAGGATGGAGGGAGGGTAAACCCACAACCATATTCTCTAGTATGAGGGCTCTGCCTACCCTCTAAGTGTCAAAAGGATAAAACAGACTTGGGAAAGAGAATTTTCAAGAATTCTATACAGACGTGAAAAGAAAAGAAGACATATTCTCAGAAGACGGTCATTAGCTAGACATAAAGTATTCTTTCACAGTGTCTGGTGGACTCTGCTTGGGAAGTGAGGCGCGCTGCCTTCTAGAGATCGAATGCATCTTCTGCCCGACCAAGCCACTTTACCCTGAGTGCCCGCCCACTGCGGTGGTCACACCCCACTCCAAACCCGAGTTACAGTGTAGACACTGCCTCCTTTGCTCAGAAGGCTTCATTACTCAACCTCTGACTGCTCTGTATTCTGAGCCCTTGGCCCGGGTTCACTGTCCAGAGCAGGGCAGGGGATAGAGGCATAAGCTTTGCCCGCACTAGTGTGTCCTGTGCTTTAGTCTCATAGGTGACCCAGTGCAGGACCAAGGCCATGCCTGCCCTGCTCTCCCCACCTCCCCCCCATCAATCAGGCCGTGTCTGTCACCATCTCCTCTCCAGAAATACGTGCCCTGCTGGTCCACTTCCCCCCAGGTCACCACAGCACCTCAGTCTGGCTGCCTGGACCTGCACACCACACTTCTGCCATCAGCCAGCTTGGAGCCAGGAAGTTTCATGGCTTCAGTTGTCAGTGTGGTACAGCCACTCAATTTTTTTAAAGTACGTGAATTACAGACTTAAGGAAAAACAAATTGGTTTGAAAATAATTTGCTCAGATGTCTCAAATAAAAATTTAGAAAAGATCAATCAATGACAATACGTTTGAAATTCGGGCTGGGGATTTAGCTTAGTGGCATAAGCACCTGCCTTGCAAGCAGGCGGTCCCGATTAAAAAAAAAAAAAAAAAGATGAAAATGTTTGAAATTCAAGATATCTTTTTCTAGCCTGTGAGGCACAGATTAACTGTCGGGACAACCTGGCTTTTCACAAGAACACTGCTGCTTGCTGTCTCGGGGTCTCCTGCCCTGCCCCTCGAAAGGCCAGGGAGCCTTGGAGGGGGCAGCGGCCTCCACACTTGAGTGTCTTTACCAAGAGCAGGCAACAGGGCAGGAGACGGGCAGATGACTCAGGCAGTATGAGAGAGAAAGCCAAGGCTTGGGGAGACTCCACACAGACCACACTACTCACTGTATAAGTCTGTTTCATCTAGGATCTCTGACTTGATGATTTCTTCAATCACGTCTTCCAAGGTGACAATGCCCAGAACCTCGTAAAATGGGTCTCCTTCGCCCTCGTTGTTTACCCGCTGTACAATTGCCAGGTGTGATTTCCCTTTGGAGGAAAGAAGCAAAGTTTAAGAGGTCATTTCCTAGATTCTCCAAATGATACCTTGAATGTAATTATTGTAAAAATAGCAAATCTTATGCAGCAAAAACTTGATACCAATGCACTGAAGCATTTAAAAATGGTATGGAAATACAATACCAAATGGGAAAGCTTCCTGAGACCTTCCAGCATGGGAGCCGGGCAGAAGAGCATCGTCTTCTTCATGCACTGCCCTGCACCCCAGGGCTCCACTTCCTCAGGGAAGTGGTTTTTGGCTTCGTGAGCTCTTCTTCTCCAACATCCCAACAGCTTTACCCAAGCAGAGTGCTTCCCTCAGTACAGCTCGGGGACCTCAGGAGTCCTCCGGATGCCAAGGTCAGGGAGCCCGCACTGGTTCCCCGCCACCAGCCTTCCCCCATGCTGATCTGTGCACCAGTGGTGCGAGGGTACCTGGTCGAGCCCACAGCCAATGGTCCTCATCTCAGGGACACGCTCACAGCAAGGCCAAGAGTCACTGGAAGTATGTGACACCGGTGCTGTGTCCAAAGCATGATAGCCATCCTGAGCTGGGAGAGGACCAGCCCAGGAGCGGCACAGGCAGGCCAGCACTCTACCACTGGGCTACCTCCTAGGCCCAAGCCACTTTTTTATTTTTGTTTTGTTTTCACTGAATGTCATTTTTACTTGAAAGAACAACTAACACAGATAAACTATGATTGTTTAGAACTGAGTACTGGTAGATATTTTTGTGAAAATAAACAAAACAAGTTGGTCATGTCAAGGAAAACCACAGGCAGTATTTGCTACCAATGATAAAACTGAGCTTTCAACAGAAAATTAGAACTTGGGGCTGGGGATTTAGCTCAGCAGCATAAGTGAGTTCGATCCCTGGTACCGATAAAAAGGAAAAAGATCAAAAAAAAAAAAAAAAAGAAAAGAAAATTAGAACTTTTGGAAATTCATATCCAAAAGCTCAACAGTTAAAGACTTTCTATTTGTTTTTGAGACAGGGTCTTGCTTTGTAGTGCAGGCTGGCCTCAGACTCACAGTAATTCTCCTGCCTCAGCCTCCCAAGTGCTGGGATTACAGGCCTACACCAAGACGCCCAGCTTTAGTGAAGGGCCGTTTTTATGGAACAGGTGGTGATAATGAATACAACTTTTAAGATAATGAGTAATATCCTGTGTGAGTTTTGAACATCTGCATAATTCAGTGAACCAAACATGGGTAAATGATTACTCAGGAGTACAGGGAGGAACAATAAGGTGTTCTTTCTCTTTCTCTTTCTCTCTGTCTCTGTCTCTGTCTGTCTCTCTGTTTCTTTCTTTCTTTCTTCTGGGAATCAAACTCAGGACCTCGAGCTTCCAAGCAGGTACTGTGCTGCTGGGCTGCATCCTCAGCCCACAATGGTTTTTTTTGTTTTTTTTTTTTTAAAGAAACAATCCTAGTCTTCTGGAGTGGCAAGGACAGCAGGGAGTCTTTATAGACTTACCAGGTGTCTGGTGTTACAACATGCGCCACCATGACACACGTGCCAAAACTGACATTGACACATGACTATTAAGCTCCAGACTCTATCTGAATTTTACTTGTTTTCCCAAAACTGTCCTCTTGGGTTTGCTTGTTTTATTGTTTTGCTTTTCTCATTTAGTGCTAGGGATCAAATCCAGGTCTCAAGCAAGCTAAGCAAGTGCTTTGCCACCGAGTTACACCTTGGCCCCAAAATGTCCTCTTTCTGTGTCATTACCCTGCCCAGAGTCCACATGCATTTAACTGCCACCCCTCCCCGTCTCTCGTGGCCTGTGACAGCTGCTCAGCCTTGCCTCATTTTACAGGATACTGATGATCTTAGGCAGGACTGGCTGAGTCTTCCAGAAATGCCTGGGCTGTCTAATGTGCTTCTCAGGGTCCCACTGGGTGGTAGGTTTTGTGGTTCCCGTCACATCAGGGCCCTGAGGACCTCCAGATAATCTCACCTCCATCCTTTGTTAAAGAAGTGTTCCTGGCTCCTCCACTGTGAAGTCACTCATTTCTCCTTGCCCTAGTTCTATTTTGGAAAGCAAGTCACTGAGCCTATCACACCCCCGAAAAAGGGTGGGGTAGGAACAAAAACCTACTTCCTGGAGCAGAGCACACTTGCATCCACATGTTTTACTCGGATTCAGTGAAGGTGATTCCAGACCAAAGCATCTTAGGGTTACTGTTTGATTGTGTGTGTGTGTTTTATATTTTACTTTCTTTTTAGACAGGGTCTCCCTGTGTAGCCCAGGCTGGCCTTTAAGTCAGGGAGCCTGCTGCTTCATTGTTTTCTGCTGGCAGACAGCCACACAACACCATGCCCAGCTAGACCAAAGGGTTCTAATGAGACAGAAAACCAAAAGTCCCAGGGCAAGACTTCAGATTCTACACTGTAGTTAGCCTTTAAGACACTATCAACTGTTCGGTGTGGTGGTGCACTTTTGTAATCAAGACACTTGGAGGGTGAGGCAGGAGGATTGCCTAGGTTTAAGGCCAACCTGAGCTGCACAGTGAGATCCTGTCTCAAAAAAATAAAAAAATAAAAAAGAGAGCGACAGAAACTACCACTTAGGGAATTTTGGTGTAGTGCCAAAGGAGAATACTGTGCAAAAAAGCTATCAAAATCCCTCTCTCTCTCGCTTTTCCAAACACCTATCCTTGCAAAAACAGCTTTTCTTCATACCTTAAGGAGGCGTTATACTGCAGATAAAACGCAGAAAGTGTGAGAAGCAGCAGCTTCCCATCTAGCTAAATAATAGAGATGCAAAAAAAGAAACTACTCTTCCTACTATTTTGTTTGGAAACATGGTTATTTTTAATAAAAATGTTATTTATGCTTGGTGGCGGAGCACTTGTCTAGCAGGTGTGAGGCCTTGAGTTTGATCTCTAGCACTGGAAAAAAAAAAAAAAAGAGAGAGAGAGTAATGAGTAAGTATGTTTTTAAATTTCAATTTTAACTCAAATAAACATCAGAGGACAGAAACCATATAAACAAAAGTTCGAGGATCCTCCGTAATGTTTAACTGTGTAAAGGCTCCTCAGGCGAGCAGGTCTAAGAACCCCTTCTCTAAGGCATGGCAGGGCAGCAGGCAAGGGGAGCTCGGATCCAAGCTCTGCATTTCAGTTCAGCCCGGCCACTCATCAGACACCTGGAACAAACTACGGTGCTCTTCTCACTGCCACAGCCACGGGCAGGAGACATGGGTACCGGCTGACAGTGCCAGGATCCTGTTTTTATTACTGCTTCTTCCCAGTTCTGCAGTGCTACCAACTGCGGCTACCTTAGGTGGAAGGAAAAACACGCCACTGCTCAACACACAGTGGTTAAAAGGTGACTTTCAATTTTAGGAAAACCTTTTTACACCAATACTGGTTTTCTCAAATCAAGGCACCTATGACACATCCAAAAATTAAGCCAAAGTAGACACAATCTGGGAACTTCATGATCAGTTAAGCTTTCTATTTCTTTTTAAATGACAGCTGTGGTGTAGTACTTAGGCTTAGCTAACACTGTGACTTGGGTAAGTTCATGCAGACAAAGTGGCCGGACAAACCAAAACTGCTCCGGCAAGGCCAGGCTCACCAGGTTCCCAGGATCCCCCCAGAAAGCCGCTCCACCAGTCCCTTCTCCACCCCGGGTGCCTGCACCTGCAGCGGAGGGTCTGCAGGCCCAGGCGCTCAGACCGCGAGACAGTCAGGCATCCTAACAATGTTCATCCCTGTCCTGCTCACAGCCAAGGAATGAAAATATTTCCAGCAAAGGTGACTAAGAGGGGAACTTATCAGCAACAGATATAAACCCCCACACCGGTCAGGCCAACTCTCAGCCGGTTAATGGGGCCCACTGGGTTTCTCACATCTGCCTTGCCAGAGAGCCAGCACAAGCAGTTAAAAATTCTTGGTGAATGCTGTCTGTCGAAAGTTAAATTCTTTTGCTATTCCCAGCTTGTGATTATTTAAGAGGAATTTTCCAAAGCAAGGTCTAATATTAGACTCAAAATGAAGTTTCCATTCCACTGAGGCTATTCTCACCACAGTAACTCCTGCATAATCAGATTGTCTCGGAGCGATTCGTTTAAATGCAGATGGACATACTTGAAATACCAGCCACATGGCACCCACAGATCTGGAAAGGGGCTTACCCTGGGAGAAATCATTCATGTAATTAGGCTTCCCAGACTGGAAATTATTAAGTTTTCCTCCCTTCAAGCCACTGATGCCCTCCCCTTTACCTCTGAAACCTCTCCACCTGCTCCGAGTTCAGAGGTGAGCAGCTCTGCTTTTTGAACCTGGTGTGCAGGACGTGTGACACATGCAGACGGTCCCCTGGCTGTGGGGGGCTTAACTGGGCTGCGGGGGACAGGGGCCTTGTGCACCTGTCCTGTTTAGCCATTCCCTGCAGAGGCCCACGTCTCTCTGCCTCCTCTGGGAGTGAACCAAAACAGAAGTGTAAATGGCTTCAAACACAGAAAGCTGTCTGTGTGAACGCACAGTCTTCCTCCCACTGAGCAGTGGAGTTCAGTCAAGACAGAAGTGACCAAAGCAGCAGAGACAAACAAAAGACTAATATGGCAAATACACACACTCAAAAGATTACAAACTGATGGATTTTTAACTTCCACAGAAAAGAAGGAAAATACAGCAGTGAGCAAAAGTACAACTAAGTATATATAACTATAGTGTATAGTGTGAAAACGTTCAAATACACACAGATAAAGTAAACTCAGTGAACTGTGTGTGCAGAGAGAATGTGTGAACACTGCTGAGCCTTGGGCTTGCATTAGTGCTCTTGGCTGAGCACACCAGGGCTGACTGTGTCCCGGTTGCTGGCAAGAGAGGGGCAGGTGTCACCAAGCCCGCACTGAGGGGAGGAAGCAACCTCCATTTCCAGAGCATACGGTTGAATTAATACACTTCCACTTAGGTTCAGAGTAAGAAGTTATTAGGAAATAGTAAGGTAAATTATTTCACAACTGCGATGTGCTCAG